CATGAATACTGATATATTACCATGGCAGAATAGTTGTATCATGTGAACTAGTGCTGTTGAAATTTTGAAATTTATTTTTATTCCTAATATTTCTGAAATATTCGTTTCTTATGTCTAAATTAGATTGTGTTTTAGTTTTAACTAAAATATAGTAAAATCTATCTATAGGAACTAAGTATTTTTGGGACAATAAATTTTAATGAAAATAATCCCATATGTAAACTTTTTAGCCTGCACTACTTACTTATAATAGTCTAATATGTATTTAAAATAAAATTATGTTTAATGTCTTACCATATTCATTCTGTTGTGCTGCTGTCATCTCCTCAAAATTGTCGCACATTTGTTTGGCAATTTCCACCCAGCGTTGCTGTTTCTTATTTCTATCGCAATAATCTGGGTGCGCTGTATCCCATAAACAGGGATTTGGTTCCACCAAACTTATAAACTTTTCATTATCAAAGACTGCACGTTCCATTTCTATATACATATACGTATTACATTAACGTCCAATTAAATTCTTAACCTCATTTACTACTAACATAAGAAAAACCCAACGACTATGTTCTACCGTATTCACTGATGAAAAAGTATGCGTGTCTGAACAGCTCCGTATAATATAATGATAATTCTGTATGCGGCATACGCATTCTGTCGCCGGAGGCCGAAAGATGAGCGATACCGAAATTTGCGTTCGGGATACTGAATGCGTCGCTAGTGCTGTTTGAAAGGTTCGATTTGGGTGTATGGAATATCTTCTGTATCTCGGATACGCGTATCTCGCATACGGTATCCTCGTCTGAAAGGGCTCTAATAGTCAAATGTTTCTTGTGCGTTAAGGTAAGTACTCACTTGGAGACCACGTTGCGCGAGCCTCCGCTGAGGACTAATCTAGGAGGCGGATGGCGAAAACTGTGGCCTACTCTGCATCCCTCCACCCTGTAAGCCCATAAGGCCATAATATTAATTTTATATTTGATGTACCTAAAAGTTAACATAATCTTTATTAAAAATATCCCATCGTTTCCTCAGATTCCCTCAAAAGTTAATGCAAAAAATATATTTATAAACAATTTATGTTTTTTTTTGTTTCAGAGACCGACTTCTGAAGCAGATTGGAATGCTATTTCCCAGGAATTTCAGTGTAGATGGAATTTTCCACACTGTATAGGTAGCATTGATGGTAAGCACGTTCAGATGGTGGCCCCACAACACAGCGGAAGCTTGTTTTACAACTACAAGGGTACATTCAGCATTGTGTTCCTTGGCGTTGCAGACGCCAACTACAACTTATTTTACGCCGATGTTGGATGCCAAGGACGTATTTCTGATGGGGGTGTTTTTAAGTGTACTTCACTATACAAGGATCTAGAAAACAATACCGCACACGTACCTAGAAGTGACGCATTACCAGGAAAAGCGGAACCTGTACCATACGTTCTTGTGGGAGATGATGCTTTTGCAATGTCTAGTTATTTGATGAAACCGTACCCTGGTCGTACACTGGAAATTCCAAAAAAAATATACAACTATACGCTAAGCAGAGCTCGAAGAATAATAGAAAATGTTTTCGGTGTCATGTCTTCCAAATTTCGGGTGTTGCTTAAGCCGATAGCTCTACAGCCAAATAAAGTGGAGTCCGTCGTGTTGGCTTGCGCCTACCTGCACAATTTTTTACGTAGGAATTCAGAGTCAAGATATGCCTACACCCCACCAGGAAGCTTGGACTCGTACGATGGTGATGGAAATGTAATTGAAGGATTTTGGAAAAGGGAAATTAATCATCAAGAGAATCGTTTGATGGATCTCCGCAACGCTCCTCGAAGATGTTCAGCAAACTTGCATAAAATTCATGATGAATTTTGTGAATACTTTGTTTCTCAAGAGGGAGAGGTAGCTTGGCAATACGATTCAATATCGTAAAGCTATTCAGTTTTTGGTTTGCTTTACATATAGAAATATTAACTGTGGTCAAAAATTAGTTATGATTATTTTAAAAAATAGAATCGAGAATAATAGGTTGATTTAATTCAAAGTAATAACGAAAAACAATGGAAAAAATCGTAGGTAAAGAACAAATGGAATTTAATAAAGCATTTAATAAAGTAATTTTTACTTACAACTTCCTTGTTTTGACTCTGTGTATCATCCAAGTCCGTGTTGCGGCTGCCCTTTGACTCATTCGCTGGCAGTAGGAATAGCAAATAATCGTGGGCAAACCATGAGGACTTTTTGGGAGAGGACCCACTCGTCGGAAGAATCTTCTTTCGCTCCCGGTTGAACGATGTTTTTAAATTATGTATTTTTTTCTATTTCTTCGATTGAAGCCATGTACTTTGCAGCCAGTGATTCCAGGGCCGCTCTTCTTTTCACCCGGTTCTTGTAAGCGGGACTCGTTACATCCCACAAACAAAACGAGGTATGATAGTCTTCAATAAATTTTAAAACTTTATCGTTTGTCCACATGGTAAACAAAAACACCAGAGACCGCATGCACTTGTTTACAAAGCGAGAGAGGGACTGGGAAATGTCTCGTCTATAGACGCGAGGTACTCACTACCACCTTGTTGCGCAACGTATCCCAACGTTGCATCAAGTCTCCCATTTCAATCGGGAGACTTGAGACCTGCGATTTTTAGTTTCGCAACCGCCCCGTAGACCGGATTTGGTCTATAGACATGTCTACCGAGACATACTGGACAACTTTAGACATGTCTCTGAGACCAAAATCGCGAGACATGTCTACTGGTGAGTACTAGGCTTAATAGTCAAATGTTTCTTGTGCGTTAGGATTGTGATGGAATGTATCAAAGAGTTGGATACACTAGATGGCAATATATTTTGTGGAATTTGATCATAATTTTTAATGTAGCAGCAAAGTAAGACCATTTTACGGTATATATAGTAAATGGAGGAACGGCTGTTACAAATTCTCATAGATGACGCTACAGTATCTCATTTCATTTCGGATAATTTTTTGGATGCAAGAATATAGTATTATTATTTCTTCAGGTTAAATACGTTAATCAATGATAGTATGCAAATTACATACTTGCATAATGCAATAAGAATAGCATCAGTAATCAGGTGACTCAAAGCAGTGTACTTCTCCTATGTATTAGTTTAAAAATAATGTTTTTGAACTACTCTGTACATAGACCTACTTAGATTAGGACTGCCATCACCTAAATTACCGACGCCGTACAACAAAAGCTTTAAAAACCCCGGAAGTTTGGGTGAAATTGAGATTTTTCCCCCGACACGCCAGAATTTTGTTGTAATCAAATTAAAAACTTCGTTGTCTTTCCAATTTTTGTATTAGTTTGATCAGCTTGTTAGCTATTTATTTAACAATGTTTGACAAAATCGACTTAAACTTGCAGCGTGACAAATGAAATACTCAAGTCTGCTTACTTTTTTATTTTGTTTTGTGTTGCGATACTTTTAAATACATTTCTGGCGAGTCGTACTAGGGTTTATAAGAAAATATCATTTTTATCTTCACATTATTGCAATGTGAATCCCGGACGGATGACAGCCCTAACTTAGGCTAGTTACAACTTATAGAATGTGATAATTTTTGGTAATGATGACCACAAAATAAAACATATGAGATGTGAAACTACTGTTTTTTTTTTCATACCTAACAGCAAATACCCATACGTAATGATGATAAAATCAGCAAAAAATCACCTATGACGGTATGTAGTGTAGGTGCATATTCGAAACAAGGATTAATGTAAGTCAAAGAATAGATGCCATAGAATATCAATTTTTCATCGAAAGAAAAGTTTAAAAAGTAATTGATTCTTCATGTTTTTATTTTTGTTTCAAGTCACGCCTTTGAAGGGAGCATATCAAAATATAATCAAATACAATTACAATAAAGAAAGTATATATTATTTTTTCAATTGAACATATTGACTAATTTATTAAATTAAAATTCAAAATTTTAGTTGCCAAATAACACGTCCATAGCTGACCGTTAGACGGTATCTACTATAGAACCAGAGTCGACGGCATCTATCTAGCGGCCACAATGGTGACCCGGCTGACTGGGAACTGGTATACAGTTTCAACAGACAACTTGTTTTTCACTTTCATAGTCGATTTTGTTACCTTCCCATCAAATCTGTATTTTCCCCATTACCTGTCTATCAAATCTGTCTTTTTCCATCTGCGTTTGATAGCTTTGATCCCCAACCACACAAGCGTTGCCTAGTAGGAGCAAAATTGGACATCGCCGCCGTTTAAAAAACCTATCTAAAAAGTTAAGATCATAAGATATACACTGAAGCCAAATTTTTTGAAGACCTGAGTTCATTGTGCACAAGAGATAACGAAGCATGCCGAAAATATGCGTTCGTTCATTCTCTACGTCCAATTAATGGTTTTATTTTGAGCGTACACATTTTTGAGTTGTGACGAATATGTTTAGGATCGATTCGAGATCGGTCCTAACGGCGCTCCATATTAGGTCGAAATGAAAGGTCAGGATCATGCACCATTGCATCATTGGTTCTCGTGGCAACACCATATCTCGTACACTCCAAGGCAAGTTTCCACCTCCATGATCATAGATGAGGGATTCTGCTTCGAGATGGTTTTCACCTGCACATACACAGACAGTGATAATTTTGCTTAATGGTGTTCGTTACATTTTCCGACCGCTCGCTGTAGCAAAATCTAACAGTAATCTTGTCACCATCAGTTGAAATCAAATAAATTTCTAAAACAAATTAAAACACTAAGTCGCATCAAATGATTGATGACTTTTGCTCTTCAGTCGGCTTCTATCTCTTTCTAACATGTGTTGATACACATTTCTTGCCTTTCTCTCTCGCACATATTGAACTCAAGGCTCAGACAAATTTGGTTTTCCCTGTATAGTGTAATTCTTCCATTCAAATATCCCGCGCTTAAGTGTTACAAGATGGCTGCCGTGCGCGCTTTTTTCCAAACGTCATTTTCGACGGTAGCGTCATCTTGCTTGTCAACCGCTACGCTATTGCCAAACTACCGCTAATAACCGGGAGAACTAATCTGGAAACTAAAAAATAACAAATATTATGATATACACCTCAGCGGATCAATGTGGTGCTTTTGTGAAACGAAAAATTATTGTATATTTGAATTATAATATCAAATAATATTACAATCATTATCTTCGAATGAAGGATACTGCTAGGTACGTCTGAGAAATTTTTGAGTGTGAGTTAATCTGGCAACGTTGCCCGCAAACGTCAATTGTCAAGCTTTTGTCTTGTAGACGGCATTCAACGTACTTTGCGGTTTTTCCAGTTTAAATCCATGAAAACACATTCTAGCAATACGAAATTTACTCCAAATTTTCATTTGGAGTCCACTTTTGTGTAATTTCTGGCAAACAAACAGTGGCAGGTAGGTGGAACTCTACAACAGACTGGGAAGAGGAAGCTATTATGTAGCGTGCATTTCACACATTCGCATACATGAAGTAAAGGAGAAGCGGGCAAGCATAGTGATGGAATCTGCGAAAACAACTCGCAGCAGGACGAGAAGCGGCCAGGGAGATGTCCCAGAGACAATAACGAATGAGAGTGAGACCACCCTTAATGGTGAGACAAATGAGAAACAACATGCTGTGATAGAGGTAAAGATTCCAGAGAATGGAGGCGCCGAAAAAGCGGCTGTTGAGGAAAAGCCAAAGAGTGACGATGTGAAGGTTGTCGAAAAACCAACAGAAAAGATAGACGAGGAAAAATCCACAGATGATGCTGATGTAACTGGAGAAGCTACATATGAACCAAAAGATGATTCTGAGATGAAAGGTGGTAAGTGTTCTATGGAACGCAGGTAGAATTGCATACTTGCTACCTATTGTTTCTTAAGAACTTTTGAAGTGGCTATGAATTTTACATTATTATGATATATCCTTAAGCTCGCATAGAATTTATGTAATGATACACAATGGTGCAACAACATGCAAACAGATTATCTGTATGTCACTACTGTTGTAACTTTCTTAGTTGTCTAACTCAAAAAGGACCAGTCAGGTATGCTGAAATCTCTGATTTTTTTTCCTCTAGCTGCATCGTCAGTTCCCACAATTGTAGGACGCCTTAATGGCCTGCTGGATTTTCCTAGTTTTTTCTCTCCTTCAGAGGTACTTCTAGATTTTCACTGTTTCTTGTCGCGTCAGTGCACTCCTATTGTGAAGCTGTTTCCTTTTTGAATTGTAGGAAATTTAGCATGAACAATTTTATGCAAATACAATTGTAATATAACCTCAAAATAGAGTGCTGACATGGAACAATAGAAAACTATGAAAATCTAGGAGGCCATAAAGGCATCCTACGATTGTTGGAAGGACTGAGGCCTGTATATTTTGAGGTTATGTCACAATTATCCATTTGCATCAAATTGTGCATGCTTTTGATTCATATCATGTTATATCAGCCTGAAATTTCCTACAATTTAAATAGAAAACATATCTTCACAATAGGAGAGCACTGACGCTGACACAGAACAGGTGCAATGTAGAAATTTTTGAAGGAGAGAAAGCAGTATGACAACCAAGGAGGCCATAAAGGCGTCCTATAATTGTAGGAACGACTGAGGATACAGCACTAAATGAAATTACATGTTGAATATCCGTTTACTGATATGCAAGAGTTATTCAAACATACGCAGTTTCATTTAGTGGACAGACAATTTTGTATTTTATAAGACTTATAGAAAAGGTTAGAGATTAGAAATAATATAGACATCTGAGGTTTTAAGTAATAATGTATATTTGCATACATTTTCAATTCACTGATTCTGAGCATAATGATTTTAAAGTGGAATTCACAGGAGTATGACAGTTATTTGAGGTTAAAAAATTGTATTTTCAACAGACTGTTAACAGTACCTATAATCTTATTTGCAAATACCAATGCTATACAAAGGCTGTAAACCATTTGTGATACAAATGGCATGAACCAAATAGAAGTAACAATACAATATTGCTCTATAGTATATTTAAATCTTACTTGACAAAGTCATTGATTGTTTATGGCTCTGAATTTAGTAATACTTTGTATAATGTTTTTTTTTTAAATGAACTCAGAGCTGTCTCATCAGTCTTTCCTACATTTGTAGGATGCCTTTGTGGTCTCCTTGATTTTCATAGTCTTTTCTCTACTTCAGAAACCATGGGGAATTTCTAGATATCTCCTGTTCTGTGTCACTGTCAGCACTCTCCTATTATGAGGTTATGTTTTCTTTTTGATTTGTAACTAATGAATAAATGCTAAAAAATACTAAATTGTTTGAACTTGCTTCTACATGATTAATTCAACTTCAAACCCTAAATATTTCTAAGTTCTCTTATGTATTAAAAACATTTCAATTTACATAATTCCATACCTTAATCTAGATTCAGAATTTGAATGATGTTCAGAGTTTTTCTATACAAATATTCAACATGCCTTATTGAGCTTATTTCTTATATAACTTATATAGTTATCCCACCTATAACTATCTAATTCAAGACTAAGAAATCTAGTATTCTCAGATACTGTAATTGTTTGCCATTAAGACCTACCATTTAAAAAAATTACAAACAGTGAGGGACCTAATATACTGCCCTGAGACCCTCTGTTTTAACAGCTCATTTGACACAGCTGTTCCATTATGTCCTAATAGTTTTGCTTATGATTGCTGAGGTATGATTCTATCCAAGAAAGTGCTAGACCTCCAAATACCATATCTTTCCAATTTTTACAAAAATATATTGTGATCTAGGTAGTTATGTGATTTATTAAGGCCAAGAAAGATACCAAGTAACAGAATTATTGTAGTCTAGGTCTACTATATTCTGCATAAACTGATAAGCAGCAGTAAGATTTAATTTTCCTTTAATATAGCCATATTGAGATTCATTTATCTGATTATTTGAAGAATTCAATATTCAATTTGACCTTATGAGTCTAAAAATATCAAAATATGACAAATCACCTTTATTCTTGTAAACTGGAATGGCAAGTTCTGTTTTTAATTGATCAGGATGATCCCATCTTGACCACTACACTTTTTATTCTTTAACATTTGTCAATTTCAGTTATATCTTTTTTGGTTGCAGGCCTCACAAACATTGACTATAAAATTTGTGAGTATTCGTAAACAGTATTGTTGTTGCAAGTTAAGTTCTCAATAGATTCCATATCCGTTGCTGAAAATTGTATGGCCCATTTATTTCATTTACTATTTGATATACTGTTTTGCCCTTATTATCAGATATCAGATTTTGTTGTACTTTTTTTGCAATTTGTCAATATCATGTTATATTCTTTTCTTTTCAAGATACTGTTCTGTATACCTAGAATCTACCAAACTAACTTATTTCTTACACTGTGTTACTTCTACATTCTTTTCATGTTTTTTTTATATCTTGTTAGAGTTTTTTTTATTGGAAAATTCTGATTGAAAATTGAGAGAAATAAGTTTTTAAGTCATGTAATTTTCCACATAAAAGCTAAGGCTGTTAGGGGAAAACTAACAGGTTTTACAAATAACTTCTCAGCCAGAAAAAGTGTGATTTATAAAGTTGTTTGTAAAACCTGCAAGGTATTTCCTAACTGATAAGCATTTAGGTCTTTACAGAGAGATTACACAATTCAATTTTTACAAAAAGATAATTGCTTTTTTCAGATGAGGTCAAGCATGGATCTTCTGAACAAAAAAAAGAAAATCCTGCTGGTCCTCAACAAGATAAAGAACTAATTTTAGTAATAGAAGACAGTTTTTTCAAAGGATTTGACAAAGAGTCACAAATAAGTAAGTTTTCTCCTAAACCAGTAATTCCTGCATTCTAAAAATCTTATTTCGTTTGTGTTCCTTTAATCTTAATTCTCTTACTATAGGTTTGCTTTTGTTATTACAAACATTATTTGTGTTCCATAGCTGAGATCACTCTGTCTCCAGAAACTCTAAGAGAAAAGTTTGCTGTAAATGAAAAGGACATAGTTGCCAAAGGTAAAAAAAGGAAAGCTGCTGATACAAAGTCTGGAGATGAGAATGATAATGAAAATCCCACTCAGGAAAAAGAAAGTCCTTCAGAAAGTGGTAAACAAAGAGATGGCTATGGTAGACAGAGAAAAGGTAAATATCAAGTCAGAAGTGCTACTTTAATTAATAATATCCCATTTCCTACATATGCATGTATTACTTTTGTTTTAGCCAAATCTGCTGAAGATTCGTTATCTTCATCCTTTATGGACACATCAGATTTAAATTTGCCATCGAAGGAAATATTGGGCAAAGGCAAAAGGGCAAGGATTCCCAATAAAAGGTATAGCGAAATCATGTTGTCACCAAGGTCTAAGCATACAGAAAATGGATCTTTGGACAGGATTGAAGCTGAAGATATTATGACTGTCGTTAAAGAAGAACCTGTGAGCCCAGGAATGCTATCTGGAGGTAGTGCGGGCAGTCCACATCCACAGTCTGCAAAAAAGCCAAAGGTATTCCAATACTAAAACTATGTATGCCATTTTTCAGATATAAATTACTGCCTACAGGTCCGGCCCTCAATGTGCAACCTTTTCAAAATGCCATAAATGATTTTTATTTATTCCAATGTACAGGATGTGTGAAAATATTCGAAAATGCAGGAATAATTAACTTTGGCTCAATACGGCCACCTTTTGCCTTGACTATAGCATTGAGAAGATCCTAAAACGAATCACAAGCTGCCTGAATGGGACTTGACAATATTTTGGCCTTCTTCAGTGTCTCGAGGCTGGTGTATTTCTTAACTCGGAACTTGCTCTCCAAAATGGCCAAGATAGAGTAATCCATTGGATTCGCGTCAGGTGAATTCTAGAGCCATTGTGTGCCCGAAATGAAGTTCGGAACGTTTTGTTTTTCAGCCATTCTTGGTTCATTCACGCTGTTTGAGACGGTGCCAAGTCTTGTTGAAATATCCATGGCCTGCCGCCGAAATATTTGTCTGCCACGGCTTCAAAGCAGTCTCCAGAACACTTTCCCGATAGTATGTCGCATTTACTTTGACGCCAGGCTAAATGAAAACGAGTGGAGAGCGCCCATCCGCGGTCACAGCTGCCTTAACCCTTTATTTGTGGCGCGTGCTGCTTCCAGGTGACCAACCGGTGGCTCATATTCTTGTAAGAACATTCGTTCAAGTAAACCCTATCCTTTTGAGAGTTTACAAATTACTCGATTAGAATTTCCTCGCCAGAAAACATGATGTTCCGAAATTGACCCCTTTCGGCCAAGCGAAGCAGCTTCTTAGCGCTCTCAAGTCTCACTTGTTGCTGCTTCGGTGTAAGATCGTGCGCCTTTTGGAACTTGGCTTGACCTTGAGCTCATTTTTGAATATGCATCGCACGCTGCGATCGGATATTATCAGTTCTTTAGCCATTTAATTGGCACTTCGTCGTGGATTTCGCTTAAGTCGCTTTTTCACTGTTCGAACCATCTCAGGTGACGTTTCACTCTTTTGATGACCACCTCCATCACGTTTAGCGGTGCTGCCAGTATCATTGTAACGTTTTATGGTGCGATAAACAAAAACCTGATTCACGTCAATATGTTTGAGCTCACATACAATCGCTGGTTGTGATTTTCCGGACAAATACAAAGCAATCACACTATTATGTTTGAATTCCATTGCTTATAACTGCTTTTGTGTTCACCTTCGACACAATGCTTTTGTACGCTTGTAGACAATCTTCAGAACTGTCATTTAGCAAATTTAATGACAGCTGCTGTCAGTGTGACAGATGCGAAAGTGGTCTGAAGTTGGTTATACTTCTAGTGCTGGACCCTGTATGATATCTATCATCAATAAACTCAAGTTTGATGAGATTAAGCTTCCTTCAGTTTTTTGCTTTTGAATCAACAATGAAGCTCAAGACAAAAAAACTATATTCTCAATTAATGAAATTTAACAATTGTGTATTCCTCATTTTTCCTGGTATAATGGAATATTTTTTTTCAAGACTTACGACTTAACAGATCAGAAGTACTTGAAACCCTTTGATTATGGATGGAAGAGAGAACTTGTGTATAGGAGCACTAGTTCAAGTTCAAAACGATCGGGAGATATTTATTATTACACTCCACAAGGAAAAAAGGTAATGGGATTACTTTCACGATATGGTTTGCCAAATAATTAATATGTTGCTTTTTTATGTAGGTGAGGTCTATGCGAGAGGTATCAGAAAACCTGCATAATAAGCATTTGAGCCTAGAAAACTTTACATTCTTCAAAGAGCCCCTAGGCTTGAATAATACTGAGAAGGAGGTTATAAGGTAACTATTACATATATTTTGAAGTACCGTTCACTTTTCTCTTTTTAAGAGTTTTTGTTTGGATGTGATAATTCAATTCAATTCAAATCAATGGACTTTATTGTAACACATACATAATTATGTATCCTTACAAATGACGAAGTCTGGCCGATGGCCATTTATACTTAACCATAAATGTCATGTCAATGCTTATTACTACCTTAAAAATAAAATAAAAAACTGAAAAAGAAAAGGAAAAAGAAGAATAATAGTAAAAGAAGAATTAATAAATATGACATAATGCGTACGATTAGAACAAAAAACATAATACGTACGATTCAAAGAAAATACAATAACCTAAGAGCTCAATAAGTAGTTCTAATATCTTTTTTAGAAAAGTTGCTGATGAAACATTGTTCGAAAGAGTTGATCAATTTCACCGTATTATACGTAAAAGACCGTTGAAAAATGGCTGTCCTATGTTGTGGCATTGTCAGGAGATTAATGTTGGGTGTATTCAAATTGTGAATTAAATTCCTACGAACAAGCTTTTGCATAAGATAAACCGAACAGAAGTTTTTAATATTTTTACGACAAATGTAACAAAGTTGTATTTGAAAAGATCAGAAATTTTCAACCAATTCATTGAAGATATTGAGTGAGAAACATGATCGTACCTTCTTAAATTGTTTATGTAACGACTACATGAGTTTTGAATTTTTTGCAGTCTGTATTTTGTGATTTCATCCAGACAGGGATAATAAACTATGTTTACTGAGTATGAGTGACTCGCATAACATTTTCTTAATTTGTCCATTTAAAACAGTTTTACTTGCATATAGAAGCCCGAGTCTAAAATAACTAGACTTACACACATAGCCAACATGCTCCTGAAATCTGAAATTTTCATCCAAATACAAACCTAAATTTTTTGCAGAATGGGAAAATATTAGGATACTATTATTTAGTGATAAATTTAACTTTGATTTGAGGAAAGTATGTTTTTTCTTGGAGCAAAAAAGTATAGCTGTCGATTTCGATGCGTTTAGACGTAAATTATGTTTTGCAGCATATGTGCATAAGTATTGCAGATCTTGATTGATAAGGTTGTTAGCTAAATGATAGTTGTTCGGACAGAAATTATGAAAAACCTGCATATCATCAGCATATGATTGACTAGAACAATGTTGAAGGGTGTTAATGATCATAATTTTCTTTATTGGGTTAACCAAAAGTTGGAGTTCACATTTCGTGCTCTCATCCATACAAAGATACAAAAATAATGGTGCAAATAAAATAATGAAAATAGAAAGTATGAGCTGACTGTTTCACTGAATCAAAGGATAAAAATTGAATACATAAATGATAACATTTTATTCTGGGTGTGTTTTAAAAATATAAAATTTGTCTTCTTCCTCTGTCCCAAAAACTCCTGAGGGATGTTGTTATATTCCTTAGCTGGTAGCTGAAATTTCTTTCATATACCGGGTGATTCTTTAAGGTGGCTCACCCCTATAACTTTTTTATTATTGAAGATAGAAAAACGGAATTTGGACGTTGCATATTATCGATGGATTTACATTTTTTTACGTATTCTCTTGCTTTGACGTACTTCGGGTTTGATCGGAAACGGCTCCAACTTTCGATTTCTAAATGGGACACCCTAAATATTTTTACTTATTACCACAGTGTTACGAAGATCCGTGTACAGAAAGTACAAAATTCTTGCTGTCGATTTGTTCATGGACTAAGAAAGTATAATCATAAATCAGCAAAGTTGAAAGAAATTAGTCACCTGAATGTGGAAAAACTGTAAAACTACACTACTGCCTTCTACACCATCTTACTTATGTGAAAAACATACCTAGAAGAAACATACATTCCCTAAATTTAAGACGCCTGGATAAATTAAGTATCCTTTGTTACCATTCAACATTATTCCGAAGAACTTTCTGATATAGTCTAATCTTATTAGACGAAAATTTCCCTTGTATGCGAAATAATTGTAAAGTCTGGTTATATTGCTGCAAGTTGTTCAAGGGGGTAACATGGATGCATGAAATGGGTACACCACGTGTTTTTTTCGGATTCAATCGAAAGTTTTGGCAGGAATGAAAAAACTCTTCATATAAAAATTTTTCAGGTATTTATGAGACCTACAAAATGAGACCACACATAAAAAGATCTGACTAATAGCAAAAAAGTTATGGCCGAAAACCGAGACAAACTGCAGGTTTTGGCACTTGTTGGTAATGCGACGATGGCTTCTTGCAGATTCTTGAAATTCTTCAGATTCGTAGGATTCGTACTTCTAAATAACCATAACAAAATTGGAGTAGATTGGTCAAGTAGTTTTTGAGAACTTCTAATTTTTTATACCAAAACACCTGTTTTCCTGCCATCACTACTGGTTTATTGAGCAATATACAGGGTTAGTTCAAAGGTCCTTTTATAGAAAAATACACTAGTTTACCTTGCCGATATGAATCGCAAACCATTCCAGAAGATAAGTGTTATTTTTATGCAAAAAAGGGTGGCTTTTTTCTTTAAAACAAATTCAAACACTTCGTGTTTGTGAGTATATCGCAACAAAAGATGATAGAGACATACGTTTTGTTTTAAAATGTGTATGCTTTTCGAATATCGTAGCGCATTTGTTCAATTACCCACAAATACGAAATGTTTCAATTTGTTTAGAAGAAAAAAAAAGCAACCTTTGTTTTTCGCAGAAAAACAACATTTATCTTTCGGCATGGTTTGTGATTCATTTCGGCAAGGTAAACACGTGTATTTTGCTATGAAATGCTCTTTGAACGAACCCTGTATATTGCTCAATAAACTAGTAGTGATGGTCGGAAAACAGGTGTTTTGACATCAAAAATTAGAAATTCTCAAAAAACTACTTTAGAAGTATGAATTCTATGGATTTGAAGAATTTCAAGCAGTTGCGTGAAATTATCGTCGCATTACCAACAAGTGCCAAAAACCTACATTTTTGCTATTAGTCGGATCTTTTTACGTGTGGTTTCATTTTGTAGGTCTTGTAAATACCTAAAAATCTTATATCAAAAGTTTTTTTTGTTCCTGTCAACACTTTCGATTGAATCCCAAGAAACACGTTTTCTCATTCTTTGTTGTCAAATAAAAAGTTTTCCCACAAAAATTGGTGTACCCGTTTTATGCGTCCATGTTTTGAACAACTTGCACCAATAGAACCAAACTTTACAATTATTTTGAGGAAATTTGCTAATATGATTAGACTAACGTAACGATATGAAAGTTTATAATCAGGTGAATAATGAGCTAAAAAATACGCAATATTGCTATTTAAAAAGAATATTATGCACATGCTTCTAGCAGAGAGATATAGTTAGTTTCACGATTTGATTTTATAAGTCATTTACATTATACTCTAAATTCCTGCATCATTTACTTTCTTAACATTGGCTAAATTTCGCCCGAATTATTATTATTATTATTCTTATGAACTGATAACAGCATTGCGTGGGAAGTGCAGAGTCAACCTACTTGACACTATTTTTTTTGTGGTCTTTGGTTCTTTTAGATTATAATAATTATTGTTAAGCACCTTCCTACTAAAAAAGACCCTTCTGTATATCAAGCGATCGTTCAGGTTGATAGGAGTAGTTATGAGATAATTGTTAAAGCTGGTTACTTGTTTGTGGGGTATGACAATTGCGCTGTTTACGATGCTATTGATGTGTATCATTCTTCTAGCACATGTAAAGGTGCAGTTGTTTGCCCACTCTGTAGCGAGAATAATGACGTCAAACATTGCAAATCACACACACGTAAATGATCAAACTGTATGAAACTTAAACAGAAAGATGATAGTGTGCAAACGGATCATGCTGTTTGGGACAAGCAGAAATGCAATGCATACAATGAAGCCCTTGATAGATTAAGGCACGTCCTACTCAGTCAGTAGCAAGCAATGCATCCCTTCGTCGTAACTCACGAGGGACTAGATTCTAATTGTAGTGATGGCTGCAACCTCTAATATACTACCAAAATGTTCGTGGACTCCGAACGAAAGCTGCTGTTTTTTATAATGCTATTTGTAGGTATGAATATCCTATCATTGCAATAACTGAAACCTGGTTAAATTTCTCATGTATGAGTAGTGCATTTTTTCCAACTACATATAATGTGTTTCGGACAGATCTTGATTATGTAACCATTGGTTGCTCAAGAGGTGGTGGTGTGTTGATTGCGATTGATGAGCGTTTTACAGCATCTTTGATAGAGATACCTGAGTTGGCAGTACTTTCTGCCCTAAAGATTGATGTTGTAGCAGTCAAGGTTTCTACCAACTATTTTTCAGTGTATACATTTGCAATGTCTACATACCACCTGATAATCCCAATGCTGAATACGAGCAATTTTATGATGCTATGTTGTCATCGCACGTCCTATTTGATAAGAATTTATTTATAACAGGGGATTTCAACATAGCTAACTACACTTCGTATGTTAATAGTCATGGACGTAACGCAAAATTGGCATTGTTGAACAACTTTGCTGAGGGCCTTGCTATTAATCAGTTTAACAACATTTCAAATTCTATGGACAATACCCTTGATTTAGTTTTCTGTAGTTGTCTGTGTGAGGTTGAACATTCGTGGGATCCGCTGCTAGATGAAGACCCGTATCACCCTACCCTGAATATATGTTGTAATAATACTAAGCATAATTTTCCTGTTTCATTTATAAATTCTTATAATTTCCGCAAAGCCAACTTTATATAATTTAATTCTGGACATGGGTTGGGCTGCTTTAGATGGCTTTCATGACGCGAATGAAGCGTGTGAGTTCTTCTATAATAAACTGTACAATTCTTTTGATACCTGTGTTCCAAAATATGTCCGAGCAACGAAACGTAAATACCCACCCTGGTTCAATTCAGCAATAATTAAGCTTATCAAACGCAAGGAGAAGATGCACCGATCTTACAGACGCAACAATTATCCTGAAGCGTATCAGACATTCAGGGAACTTAGATCAAAAATTAAGATAGATTCAGATCAAGCATACAAAATATACGTCAGACAAGCTGAGAACGAAATAAAAAGAGATTCGAATAAATTTTGGGGCTTCTTAAATTCTAAGCGAAAATCAACAAACATATCAAGTGGGATGATTTACAATGGTAATGAACTTTTGGAACCGAACGACATATTAAATCCTTTTGCGGATAACTTCTCCAAATACTACTCGTCTTCATCAGCCACCGAAGAAACTGATGACTTGTTAATGAGACATGAACTACTACTCAATATTACTAGATTTGAGGAGGATGAAGTTGTCTTAGCCTTGAAGCAAATAAAACCTATGATGACTACCGGACCGGATAATGTACCAGCTTTTATTTTGCGTGACTGTACCTCTGTGTTGGCGTGTCCTTTGACCGTTTTAGTCAACTTATGTCTTACCACCTGCACAATTCCAGAATTATAGAAGATGTCTAAAGTATGTCCAATACACAAAAACGGCAGTAGGAATGATCTATCAAATTTTAGACCTATATTAGTATTGTGCAATTTTTCAAAAGTTCTAGAGATATTAATATATGACAGACTATATCATCATGTCAGCAGAAAAATATGTGTTCAACAACATTGACAGAGGATTACAAGCAGATGTGATCTACACAGACTTCTCCAAGGCTTTCGACAGAGTTGATCACAGGATGCTATTGCATAAGCTGAAATCTCATGGATTATCCGAGTCTTTAATACAACTATTTTAGTCCTACCTCACTGGAAGAAATCAATTTGTGATGTTTAATGGCATCAGATCGTCGGCGTATGTAGCCAATTCGGGAGTGCTACAAGGCAGTAACCTAGGGCCTTTATTGTTCGTCATATTATTTGTGAATGACATAGTTAATGCTGTTGGCGAGAATTGTTTACTTCACGCTGATGATCTAAAGATGTTTTGTCGTGTAGTTAATGAATCAGACTGTGATCAACTTTTAGAAAATCTGGTTAGGTTGGATGCTTGGTGCTCACAAAACAATCTACCATTAAACATCAATAAATGAATGTCTTAACTTTGAAGAAAAATCCTGTGTTATTTGACTATACCCTGTCAGGTACCTCTATTCAGAGGACTTCAACTTTATATATATATTTGACTCCCAACTAACGTTCGTCAAACACATTGACAGCAAAATTCCCGAGGCAAACCGCATGTACGGCTTTATTGTAAGAAACTGCCGTCACTTCACTCGGAGTACCACCTTGAGGTTGCTGTATTATGCATATGTTAGGTCGAAGCTTGAGTATGCATTGCTAATTTGGAATCCGCATCATATTATTCATATAAGTAGGCTTGAATGTGTTCAAAGACGTTTCTTAAAATATTTGTCACTGAAAGTCGATGGCGTTTACGCGCCGACAGGTATACCTCATGATTCCTTACTTGAAAAACATCTAATCAGCAGTCTTGAAGCAAGGCGCACTTGCCAGTCAGTGATTTTTCTGTTTAAATTGATCAATACTGCTAGTGATGATTTAGCTTTCTTGGGTCAGTTATCATTTAACGTACCTAGGCTGACATCCCGACAACACGTTACGTTTTATCTACCTGCGGCACGGACACATTATTTACATTATTCCCCTTTGCATGTGATGTGTAGGAATTACAATTTTGCAAGTAACAGGATTGATATATTTAACTGCAGAATTGCAGACATAAAAAATACCATTAAGTAACTAGCATGTATCTATGTTATGTTCTGTGTTTCCTCACCCTGTAATTGGTATTCACTGTAGGGTGTTGTAATGAATAAAATAAAATAACTGAAATTTTGTATGTGGTAGGGACGCGAAGATTGGAAGAGGTAGCAGCGGCAACCTCAGCGGTTCAGAGCGGACGTTAAGTCCGAAACCGAAGGCTGGTGGGCTAGTGAAGAAGGCTATAGTGAAGTCTGCGAGTGCAAATCGTGTCACACCGCGCAGCCCTAAGCTGGCCGCTGCGAGTCCCAAAGGCGTCGCTAGTCCTAAGGGAGCAGCTAGTCCTAAGGGGGCAGCCAGTCCTAGGAGGGCAGCGCCCAGTCCCAAGGCCAGTCCTAAAAGGGTACAGAGCCCAAGGGCTGGGACAAACGAGACAGCGGATAGCCCTGCTTCATCTGAAAGGTCGTTGAGGGGGAAACCGACGAATCAGGCGAAGACGACAGGCAATTACAAGGTTAGTAAGGTAATTAGACATCTTTTAATGTCCGTTCGACTTGATTACATAATACAGGCAATATATTGTGGATAGGTTTTGATGAACTAGTAATGTTCTTGTATAAAAAACTCAATCCTGAAAAATGTAAATTGTAATACATCAACGGAAAATGCACTCAAAAAGATCTGGAGGTCATCAAATCAATTTGTCATTAATTTTACCAGCACCTATCGTGTATTATAAACAAGTATTTCAGCTTCCGATGCAATGACTTTAAACATACACACATTTTTTTCATGAGGAATTTACAGAACCTGTATGACGTTTTTCAAATAAGCTATGTTTTAAATCTCAACATGTCACGGTAGTTTACGAGACCCAGTGCACAGTAGGTGTGGTCTTTTGCTTCTGTTTTATTGATCTTACACTTTGCAGAAATTTAATGTTTTCGATTAATAGCCACTTTATATTTTGACACCAGATGTGTGTGTGGCCAAACTTATTAACATAACAGAAAATTACCTACACTAATCAATACTTCCATGTTGTAACAAAGGCTTACACATGTAGTTTACAGTTTTCGCGGCTCTATGAAACGAAATTTTTTTTTTATAAAAAACACTGAGTAGATTTAAAATGAATAAAAAACTAAAATTGACGAATTTAGGATTTCTTTCATTTTGCACTGCTTTGTGTCTAATTCCTATTACAAACCACCTCTCAAACCTTTTTTGTTTTGTGCTATCACTAAAGATATTCAAGTTGGCAACAAAGTCAAACATTTAAACATTTTCTGGACCAAAGTAGATAAAAGGAGAATGAATCTCACTAATTTGAGTATTGAATTTTTGATAATCCTGTCTGGCCGCTAAATGAAATCAAATATGTTTAAACACGTATCAGTAAACAGTCATTCAAACATGTTTTGTTTGTTAGTTGAAAATGTATTTATCATTAATCATACAATCCCAATTTTATATAATTATAAGTTTACACATTTTTTGAATCAATTTCTGTCTATTAAAATATTCATAAAGGGATTTTTTAATTTCGCCTTGAACATTTTTAAATTTGAACACTGTGGTTTAATATCATTATTCTCAATTTATAAAACTCAAATACTTCCTTTTGAAATACATGTTTGCTAGTTGCGCTACTATATAATTTTGTAATACTGCCTCTAGTTTCGTAGTTATGTTAATGAATAATGTTTAATTTCAATATGAAAATGAGAACTATGAATTTTTTTACATTCAACTACTGTAGTTCTAACATATACTTAATCTTAGCGGATTTGTTTTTATTTAAAATGATTCTCATATCTTTATTTTATAGAATTTGTAATTTTCAAAATATGTTTTTATTTGCTGTAAACAAAATGCTTTAACATTATTAAAAATGGAGAAGAATTATAGTGTTTTACATTTTTTTGGATACATACTGAGATTATGGGAAACTCTATAGAAGTAATTTATCTTTTTTGATATTTTTGAAATAATGCTCATGAAACAGTAGTTTACTATCCACATATACGTATACCCAGATATTTGGATGATGCGACTACTTGATTTTTTTTATCGTTAATGTTTCCCTATTAACATTTGTTTTATTAGTGCGTAATTTAATTTTAGTACTATTTAACCAATTCTTAATTTTTGTAGTATCACTATTTAACAGTTCTAAAGCAGTGTCCAAATGTTTATGCGCTTTTATATCAATGTATCGTCTGCACATATATCAACTATGCAGTTTTCTAAAATGTCACAGATATCATTTGTAGAGGGTGGCTGACTGGTTTGTATCGTGAATATTTGTGAAGTGAAATAAAATATGTCAATTTTTTTTTAATTTCAGTCTGAAACTTAGAAATTAAGTATGAAAAATAATATCAGACAAATGTCCTCCTCTAGAAGCGCGCAAACCCGAGTCCTCTTGATTACATTTTCCATCACTTTTTGGTCGGTTTCGTGAGAAATATTTTCATTCGCTCCCGTAATATTGTTCTTCGGCTGCTCTACAGTTTTTGGTATGTTGCCATAAACCCTATTTTTCAAAAATCCCTATAAATAAGTCATGAGCCGTTAAATCCGGTGACCTTGGTGGCCAGCTGTGTGACAAGTTGCTCCGTCCTGCTGGAACCACATGTTTTGCAGGTTAAATTGTTGGATTTGAGGAGCCAGAAAATTTTTCACCATATCACGGCAGCGCTCGCCAGTGACAATAAGAGAATTACCTGCAGCGTCTTCAAAGAAGTGAGGTCCAATGATATCTCCATATCAAACACCGCACCAAACTGTGACTCTGCGAGGATGTAGGGTTCGTTTATGGATGACACGAGGGTCCTCTAATGCCCAAATACGACAATTCTGCTTATTAACAACTCCGTTCATATCGAAGAGAGCTTCATCGCTCATTATCACTTGTCGGTAAAAATCGTTATTTTGGGTATTAAGCTGCAATATTGCATGACTGCATTGTCGGCGACTTTCATGGTCACTAGGCTGTAGTTCTTGGGTTAACTGAATTTTGTATGGCCGCAAATGCAAGTCTTTTTTTAAAATAGTGCATAATGACGTGCGACGAATACCCATTTCTTGAGAACGACGTCTGGTAGACGTCTCAGGGCGCTCCACTACACTTTTTCACGAACTCTGTCGATATTTTCCGAAGTACGAACAGTTCGAACACGACCCGACCTTATCAAGTCTTTAACTTCACCTGTTTTTTCAAATTTCCCCACCAACTGACGAATGTTGTTGACACTGGGCACATTAGTTCGACCGAAATCTTGTCGTAGCTTCCGAATCGTTGCAACAATCGACTCATTATTTAAGTAAAACGTTTTAAAAATACGGACGCGTTGTGAGATCGTGTAGCGCTCCATGATGAATTGGACACATGTGCTTTAAACAACTACTATGGCGCCACCTACAGAGATGCGTGTATCAAAAAAATAACGGCTCTAATTTACTCCTCTGTGGAACCTCTACTGATAAATTTTGAACGTTTGACATAATATTTCCAATTTTAGTTTTTTATTTCTATTTGCTAAATAATTTTATAAAATGATTAATGATGATCCTTTAAAACCATAGTGATGTAATTCCATTAACAATTTTTTCCTATTTATAGTCTTTTGAAGTCTAAAAATACTGTTACAATACATTCTTTCTCGTCTATACTTCTCCAGTCTTCCACCACTATTTGGATTGCTGTTTCCGTTGAATATTTTTTTCTAAATCCAGCTTGATTTTTTGCCAAAATTTTGTTTTTTGCAATGAAATCAATGATTTGTTCGTATATTATCCCTTCGAACAACTTCTCGACATCTGGCAAGACATTAATGTCTTCTGAGCTATATAAAAATGTATATAGCTCAGAATGTTGAACTTTTGGTGCAGGAGTAATTGTGGAACACTTCAATTTTGATGGAAACTCACCATGTACTAAAAAATGAGTCACCAATATATGATTTCAGTTAGCGGCTAGACAAACAAGGATTCTCAGCATGAAAACCACAGCATATGTTCAAGGTGTTATATCATTGCATTTTTCTTGATCATTCATCATTCAGTATATTGCTTGCCATCATTAGACAGTGATCATTGTCACTTATTTGTCTCAGCATTGAAAAGTCTGCTGAAGCATTTCAAAAATAATTCATTTGTAGCTGAAGCTACCAGTGAAAAAAGATAAGAAGAAGACTGATGAAGAAATGAAAACAGTGAAGTCGCCCCCAAGTAAGCGAGGCAGATGGTCAAAGTGAGTATCAACATTCACATTTTTGCATTTTTTTCTGGTTTATGAAACTTTTATATATTTCGCGTGGGACCAACGTTTTGGAATTTATGTAATAGGCTATGGCTCAAAAGTTTTGAACGGACAATTCTATACTAGCCAGCGTGACCATAGATTTCTAAGTTACTGAGAATCTGAGATTGACACTAGTAAAAAATTGATTTAGGAATCAAGATAAACACTGCAATTTAAAAATAGTAACTGGAATATTTAATGAGGTCGTACTATATTAAGTGCTCATTAGATTAAGCATCTAAGAAATATCGAAAAGCGGGAAGTGGTGGTGGTGAGGAATGTTTTGTTTTGGAAGATTCTGCGGTCACCCGCGCGTAAGTTGGAAACGAACTCAGATATGCCTAAATACCGCAAAGTTGGGGTTTTCCTTTTCAGAAACAACTACCCTTGAAATAACAAAGGTAATGTGTAGTGAAACGAGGGCGACTAAGTAAAAAAAAATAAAGAAAAAAGTACTCTCCAGTTGACTAGAAGGGCTAAGTACGTCTCTGCCAGAAATCATACCGCTCCAACAGAAAATGAAATCAGCTGATGCGCTACCGAGCATACGCAGGCAAACAAGGAAGGCAAAATGTTGCGTAAAAAGTCTAGGTATTGCATCCCGTCCAATCGATTAGGGAGAATAAATGGTCCAATGAGCATACCGTTCACCATGCCAGCCCAAATATTCACCGAAAATGTTTGTTGAAAATGTGGCCGACGGACAGCGTGCGGATTTTCTACTGACCAAACATGAGTGTTGCGAAAGTTATTCACCCCATTACGCGTGAACGTAGATTCGTCTGTCACCAATATGCACAAGTCCGGATTATTGTCATGTTGATGCAACAACCACTCACAAAACCGCACTCTTGCGGGAAAATCGTCAGGTTGAAGGGCTTGTACACGTTGGACGTGAAACGGATACAGCCCCTCTTCACGCAGCGTTTGCCACACTTTAGTTTTTGATACTTGCACTTCTCTAGCCACGTCTCTAGTGCTTGTTGAGGGATTCTCGTCTACGCGATTACCTCTACACGCGTGACCGTAACCGTCGGTTGAAGGTTGCATACTGACCTGACACAGTGACCCCGACCCAGTTCTGTCGTCGGGTTGAGCCAGTGACCTTGTACCAATCGGTGATGTCGCGGGTCGCGGCTACAGGACGGTATCCAGATATTTTTGATGTTGCAGAGCCCTTTATCTCGGTTCCCTTAAGACATTCGTTTATATGGTACTAAGAAAAATTGCTTATGTTTTCAAGATCTACACGTCGTGTAAAGGAAAACCCCAACTTTTTACTTCCCACGCCTACTGGCGTTGTCTGTCCCCGCTATAACTAGGAAGTAGCGGTGGGATTTTGATGAAATTTTCACATAGGGTTACTAATATGCCAATGACGAAAAAGCTTTGTAATTTTTGAAAAGCAGTCCAGTAACAACGGAGAAAATGGCCAAAAACGAAAAAAAAAAAACGCTCAAACGTTTGACATTTCAGAGGATCATTTTCAGAAAAAAAATTGGGGGATAGGGATTTGATGGGGGTGGGGGAGAGTATATGTCAATTATTTGACGTTGATATATTTATACGCCTGAAAGCGTTGCGTGGGAACTACAGTCTAATTGACGCCATTTTTTATTCTGTAGTCGCCAATTCAGAAACCTAAATATAGGGAACTGAAAGACGCCTTGTTAATTGAATTTTTGAACTGCCTAAGGTTAGCAGTACTAGGAAAAACCTCGGGCAGACTGTCCTGTCTTCGTACCTAAGAAGCGGTAGTACCGGCCAGTTCTCGTTGTACGACGTACGACAGAGTTGGGATGGGGTGGGATGTGAGAAACATAGATCAACGCACCATTAGTGACATACCAAAGAATACAGAGTTTCCAGTAGAATGAGCACTCGGGAATGAACCTTTGATCTTCGAGCTTCTGAAGATGCCGACGTTTTTCCTAGAATTCGGATTCTTTTTTTTTTTTTTGTTTAGGTGCCTCAATGGAAGAGGTCCCGCACATTTTTATTGCTTTATACAGGGTAGTGCTGTTGGGATCGGCGTACGTTCAGAATAAGTTTTCAAAAAATTGTAATAGCATCGAGCAGTTGCGTTTATGGAGAATGATCCATGTCATTATTTTTATGACGAAGACAATAAGTGATATATATCAGTTGCTCAAAAATATTGTGACTTGAAAAATAGTTTTTAGTCTCTACGTCACTGATTGGGGGTACTCCACCTGTCTTTGTCTTCTTTGTCACAGTGTAATCTCAGTAAAACACTGTGCCGATTTTTTCAAAACTGACCAGATACTGTATAGTCACAAATTTAAAAATGGGTGTAAAGAGTGCTGAAGTAAGTAAAATCAAACCTTGTTTTTTATCGTTCATATTTTCAAGGCTTTTGTTGTATGAAATTGTAAGGTTTTCAAAAACATATTACCGCTTGCAGAAACCATGCAATCATGGATCTCCATAAAGCCAATATACAGTTAGTACAGCCATTTATTTTTGCTAGGAATTATTTTTTTCTTCTTGGCACTCATGAATCATGGACGTATGTCTTGGAATAACAATACTTTTCTAACATCTTTAGTATATCGACCAAACATCCGCACCCCATTTCCCTACTTTGTTTTAGAAGACAGGCTACAGCATCTTCTCATCATGAATCGCACTGTACAATACATACAACTTAAATTTCTCCTTTAAAAAATATTTTCTTGAATTTTTTCATACTAGCTTTATTTTTTATTTTTTTTATACCGAAGCAGCCGCGCAGGCAGAAGCCTAAATGCCGAGACAACGCGGCTGATATGATGATTCAAAAGAAATTTTATTAATCCGATTTTGAACTGCCTAAGGTTAGTAGAACTGGGAAAAACATCCCCTTGGAGATCCACAATCTCGACACCCTCGGGATAAAGGATCGGTCGTATCGGCTAGTTCTGGATGTACGAAGTTCAACACGATTAGGATGGGAGGCCAAAGTCAGGCGGGTCTGTCTGGCAGGCACATGACGCAGCGGCATCATGAAAGAGAGCTCTGAGGAGCAATGACAGTTGGTGTGGCGGTAGAAGAGATCTAGATCGCCGACGGCCCGCCGCGCGCCGGTGCGAAAGGGTCCCGAGACTGTCTGTTAGAGAAGAGTCATCGATCAGTCGGGCAGCCCTCCTCTGGACAGCATCGAGCATAAACAATGTAGTCGGTGCGGCAGCACGCCAAACGTGTGAGCAATACTCGAGGCTAGGCCTTATCTGGGCCTTGTATAGAGTGAGAAGGTCATTTCGGTGAGAAGTACTTCTTAGCCCTAAACAAATAGCCTAGCTTTTTCTCAGCAGCTGCCGCTATTGACAAGACGTGTTTGTGCCAGATCAGGTCGTCGGTGGTCTGGACTCCGACCAGCCGAAATGAATGGCTCTTTGGCAGAACTCGGCCATCCATCGACACCGGATGAGCACTAGGATGCTTTTTGTTCGTCAAGGCACAGTACTGTGTTTTGGAAGCATTAAACTGTACAAGATAGTTGCGTCCCCAAGCAGTGATAACCTCCAGGTCTCTCGTCAGAGATGAAGTCGTCGCTAGTCTTCCAGTTTTTCCAGCTCATCGGCAGAGAATGGCTTGTCACTCTGAATTCCTGCATGTAGAGTGCTGTCATCAGCGAATCTGCTGGATTGGGTTGATCGTGCAGGGAAGGAGGTCGTTGATATGTGAGATAAACAGTGTCAGAGCCAAGACAGATCTCTGGGGAACACCCGCGTTGACGTTGTTGGATGAAGAAGAGAACCCGTCAATTACGACGGATATCTTGCGACCAGAGATAGTCAGCCATCCATCTGCAAAGCTTTTCTGGGAGGCCATAGGATGGAAGTTTGCTTAACAGGGCAGCGTGCCACAGCTGATCGAACGGTTTCTTGATGTCAAGAGCAACGACATGAGCCTCACCATAAGACTGAATGAGTTTACTCCACAATTGCGTGACGTAAGCTAGAAGGTCCCCTGTGGATCGTTGGTGTATTGAATACAATAGTAAACGTAGTATCACAAAAAAATCGTGTAATGTCTGAGCGTCCGTTGTTCATCTCCTCTGAAGTCGACTATGCAAATTGAGCACATTGCTAGTGACGGCGTGATGCTGGACTCGTTTCATGACGATATAAGGAAATTGTAACATAACTTACAGCAGCCACGCGACCAACTCCCGAATTGTTTTGGATCGTAGCAGATGCCGGGCATCGACTACGTGACCACAGCAAATGTATTTGCATCTGTTTAGAAAAATATTTTTATTTTGTTTTTTCTCATAATCTTATTAAAAAGGGTCCGTTTTAAAGAATTTGCATGTTTCCAAGCCTAAAATTGCGCCAAACATGCTTGCTTTTTGATTAAGGTTATGCAAAACACTTAATCATCCGCATGTAAAAAATGAATGATCGCACCCCAATGACATTTGGCACACAGGTAACGTCTCAGTCACCGCGGCAGATCTGTTTTTTCAATGAAGTAGCTCTTCTACTGGTAACTCTGTATTCTTTGCATTTACATTCGTAAACTTCTTGTTTTTTTGCATCGCGTTAACGTTGGTATATATTGTAAATATTATGGTGCAAATTATACGAACGTCAGTTTCATCAACGTTTCCGCGTTGGCCGAGCAAAAACATGTAAAATTCACTGTCACTAAGAACAGTTTATAGCGCTATATAACCTAAAAATTGACGTTTTTGGCATTGTTATTGTCGTTCATGCTAAACATATTGCAAAAATGGTTAATTTCAATGAATTGATGTATTGTAACGATATTATTAACGAGGATGTAGAGGAGGCAGTTGAGGAATGGGAGATAGGGAGAGATATTCTTGGGCACCGAGATCCTTTCATAATTTCGAATCGAAAATTTGTACAGATGTTTAGGTTGACCAATGATTTGGTGTATGAATTGCTGGAGATATTGACTTCATTCATACAACCACCCCCACGAACTTCTGCACTTTCGATCACAACAAAGGCAAGAGTAGATATTAAGTTTTAGTCATTCTAAAACAGTATCCTTTAATCTATGATTGAATTTTCCCTGGTGCATTTGGGGGTGCTTTGTCCTTTTGTTTATTTGTAATGTTTTTTTAAACTCCATAGATAAAATTATAAGGAGGAAATCTTGATCAAAATCTTTGGTTAGTCATTAACTGTCAAAATTATCTCCATTTTGATTAGTTTACTGAAACCTGGCAACCCTGTGTGTTGATTTCCTTTCTCCTTTCTATCGAGTTCTTTCAAGAATACAGTATTTTCGAATCGATAGAAAACCGGGGGAGTAGAAAAAGAGAGCGAGTGTGATTTTCTGTTTAAGTCAAGAATAGGGGCACAGAAACTACATTGTTCCGAACGATTTAAGTCTCTACTCTTCTTATTTTTATTATGGTTACCTCAAATTTGGCATGATAGAACGATAGCGAATGGGAATCTTAACGCGGCGGCCATGGTTTCAAGCTACAGCGTCATCGTATCCGTTGTCTATAGCAACCGTCATCAGCGTCGCGAAGTTGGCGTCCGTATACCATCAAAAACACACTTTTGACGTCGTCTTTTTGACATTCGTTTAACGTCAGATATTTCTCCAATGTGTCAATAGTTGACTCAAGGTATAAGAAAGGAAATGAATCTACACATTAATTGTCGTCACAGGAAATAGAGCGAAAAAACGATAATAAGAAATTTTAGTTTATTCTTGCATCGAGATATTACGAAAATGAAATCTTTCATCACCATCCTCTGTATCCCACCTTTGCGATTCCCATCACTCACCGTCAACGGACCGTCATCCGCGTTTCCAGCTCCGAAGAAGAAGACGACGATAGCAGCAACCATAGCATCTTCAGCACTCAAAGCAACTACAGCGCGCCTAGCAGCAACCCAGAGGAAGAATCAGCACCACACACCGTACTGTCATCATCTCCAATCCCACTCGATTATAATCCCACTCCCCCTCCAATGATGGATGAAGAGGGGCTGAAACCACAGCCGCCTTGCTCCATACGGTGTGACGGGGTCCAGGGGTTTTTGGTACCGGCCCTGCAGTGTCGTTTGTGTCTCTGTTTGTACCACCACCAATGCGTGGGCGTGGCGCAACACCAGGCTGTCCAGCAGCCGTTCGTCTGCAAGGTATCTAAAGCAAGGTTCACACTGAGAGTGGGAGGGTGTATCAACAAGGTGGATTATGTAGATGCTGGCAGTATTGACATTGTATAGTGTTCTTTTAAAACACTTAGTATGGAAAATTTGGTTTAAGTTTACTTTACACTTCGACGTGTTCGAATGATTGAAGCTCAAAATGTCTTTTATTTCAGATCGTTTTCGTCAAATTTAATATGGCTAGCTACGAAATAAACCTAGTAAACCGAATAAAAGTATTTGATTCTAAAATTTCAATTATTCAATTACTGTGACGTTTAAAATAACCTCACTTTAAAAGGTTACTTATATTTGTCGCACTGTGTTAATTTAATGCGTCATTGGTGATCCAAGCCTCATTGATCAGGACCAACTCTGTGCGGTTTATTATTTATTTTCCGTCGGGGTCATATAGTATTTTGAATAAAACATGAACTAATTCATGTTTTAACAAAGGTTGATAACCCCTTGCCTAATTTCCAAAAAAGCTGAAATAACACCATTGTCGGAATAGTTGACTACACCAGACTAATAATTCTTGTAAGAAACGTAACGCCTGTGTCAATCACTTGCTTTGGTGGATGTCTTGTATCTTGAAGTACTCTGAGATAAATCACTTTGTTGATACACCTTGCATGTTTTCTCAAAACAGCAAGCCAGTGCTATGAAACTACTACATGTTATTCATAAAGGTACTTGAAGGAACTAAAATTAATTCAAAAAATATGTCAATCAACTCAAAATTTATTTAATTTGGTTATTTCTAGCACTGGCTTGTCCTAGGTTCAAAGACGCCCTTTGTTATTACATTGTAACTGTTTTGTATGATGATCAAATTGATAGACAATATTTATTGAATTTGGGCATTTTTGGGCGTATGAATATGTTATGTTTCGTTCCAACAGGTAGAACCTATATTGCTTCAAACTACCTCTCATAAGGTTGTTTCATGTATATTTTCTAACATTTTTTCCTGTTGAAGAGTATCCTTTTTTTAAGTGAGGGACAGGTTGAAACAAGTATTAATACAAAGTTTAATATAACGGATGTACATTATTTTCTTTACGCTTATTAACGCTTTGTAATATCTTTGTAGTAATATTTCATATTTGTAGACTTATTTCTATTTATACTGTATTGCAAATATATTGTAAATTGTCTCCTCACTAAAAAAAGATATATCGAAATACTGTTGGTACGAGGCAGAACCTTGCTTACAAACACTGTAAAATTTCGCGTCAAATCATGGTAATTTTTCTTTTTTATTTTCGACTTTAATCCTGAGGGGCATTCAGATCTGATTGATCGGCTGTTTCATGTTCGGGTCTTATTTTCTGTTCATTATTGTGCGTTAGGAGCTCTTTTCAGGGCTATAAGACAACATGGCATGTAACCAAGGTACTGCACTTATCCTAACAGTCGAAGTATAATATACACGCGTATCTCCGGTTCAATGCAAAAAAGTGCAGACGCCTTTGACATTTCTGGAATTTGGGAACAGTTTATTCAAACGAGATATCTAGAATTTTGGCATTACAAGTTTGTAAAACTTGCTGATACACCCGAAGTCGATCGATGATGATCGGTGAATGCCACCATTTCCCATAAAATTGAAAAGTAAGGCAATATTGATAGTGCTAATGCACACAAGGAAGTATATATATTGATATCCTATACATTTTCATGAATTGAGGCATTACTTTGAAATGCACACTTAGATTGTATACTAGATCGAGTAAAACTGTCTCTTAATATTCCGTGAAATGTCTTGACTTGCGCGCAAAAATTACAAACTAGTAATTCATATTTTCTTGCCAGAATTGTCGGCTAGATACAACTGGCGACCAGGCGACCGCAACAATGCAAACACAGCCGATCGATCGATCTCCGCCCCCTCTGCTCCCAGTTAACGTTCCCTCTCCATTGATGTCGCCGCAAAATCCTAGTTCAGATGCTTCCCCCGGCCCGCCTCCGTTGACGCCAATCACAGCCCTTAAACCGCATCCTACCTCCACCACTGAGGAGGCTCCGCCCTTACCTAAGCTTCAGCGAATACCCAGACCCGGCGACGTCGTTCCCCCACCGCCTCCCGAACAGCCCGAATCGGAGCCCGAGCTGCCGAATCTACCACATCTTATGCCACGCCCACCTATCGTAGCTCCGCCTACATCTCGGGTCGACACTCCACCTCCTTTGCAGACAAAACCCTTGGTGGGCGGCGTGACGACTTGGTTTCCACACCATTCGAAGATCGTTGAGGCGGAGCAGCAAACCGGGGATATTCCTAGGCCACAGTACGTGGAATTTTTGGCCGGCAGGAAATTTCTAGTCATTCCGAAACATAATTTTATGTCTGTGTCGCCAAGCGTGGCCGTAACGGCATCGAATGTCGCAGCCACGTCGGTAGATTCGGCTAGTTTAGGACCCGATTTAGGTAGTAAGTCAGAAGTGGAGGCAACCTCGCCTTCCAAACCCGAAAATACGCAAACTGCTGAGAAGATGCAGGTAGAGGATGTTGAGAATGGAATTAAGGCTGATGCAGATAAGAACGAACACGAAGGATCATCATTGTGAGTGAGACTAATTTTCCTTGTACACCTGTCATTCATCATTTGCTCATATATAGTAAAATGTAAAAGCAGTAATTGTATATGACAGTGCTTAGCTTCGTTTTTTAGATTTTATTCACATGCGGATTAGATACACCAGCAGAAACATGTTATAATGACTAGAAAATTGAGAAGTTTGTTGAATTCTACACATACTTAACAACCAAGAAATCCTGTTTTTCAATTTCCTAAGGTGTTTGAATTTGGTTCATCTACAAGGTGGGCTTATGATACTTGTTTTCGATTGGCCAATTTTTGATGCGGTTTTACGAAAATGCTTTCTAATTGGTCATTGTTGATCTGGAACATAGGTTTTGATCTCCGGATCAAATGAAAAAATATGTTTTTTCTTGCTAAACCAGGTGATTTACAAAGAATTTCTTGATTGAATATAGGGATTAGAGGCCCTTCTTACACAAATCGTATGTTTTTTCGTTAGTTTGAGATATATTTTAGAAAAAATCGACTATATTAAGTCTAGTATTAGAATTATGCCTTCTCATAGGTTTATTTTTTGCCAACCCCGTAGTACCAACTCTGTACTCCACAAGTCATTCACTGATGACTGATTGTATTAACCAGCGCCAGTAATGCGGCGTCCCTATGTTGATGTTGCACCGGTTATCACATACCAGTTGAGTTTTATTATGGATAAATGGATGTTACTCATATTTTACCACGCACATATCCAATGAGTCGTACCTTACGGATGTTACAAAAATGCCTGTTCGAACAATCGCTAAAAGGTGAATGCGCACTAGTTGCAAAGATTCATTTAGAACTTTTAAAATTCTAACCTTGTCATTTGTGTATATTCTAAATATATTAATCCATGTTAAAACAGACTTGAGCAAGTTCATTACTATAAACACTGGTGCATACTTTACAAGGAACAGTCAAGTGTTGGAGGTACCTTCACATAGATTGGCGAGAACGGAGGAGAGTCCTAGATACGTGGCTGTTAAGCTTTTAAACAAGCTCTCCAACGATTTAAAATCACAGCCACTGAATATTTTTAGAAAAACTAATAAGGAAATTTTACGTTTTACTCATTTATTGTGTTGTTTAATTGATTTTAGTTATGGTTTTATTTTTTTATTGTCGTTTTATTATCATTCGGCTTGTGATCGTCCTTTATTTCGTCTTTTTATATTTATGTACCCTTACATTTTTTATATCTATAATTTATACCTATAATGGTTTTGATTTGTCAATAACTGTAATATATAAGGAGTACGGACGGCTTTTTGCAGAAAGGAACCAACCCACTAAATATGAAAAATCTAGATTTTAGGAAAATAATCTATTACGCGTATAAATTATAAATAGTTTAGTATTATATTATCTACACATATTTAAAGCCTTTAGTATGCCATTAATTAAAATCATTTTTGCTCTAAAGTGAATTTTTTATCATTGTTAAAACTTTAAAGCCTAATTGCTCAATAGCTGTATATCTGGGTTGATTGCTTTCTGCAACAAGCCGTCCAAATTAGCTTTGTATTGCTTTGACCTATCCTATATCACATCTGTGATCAAACAGGACAAATAAATTATTATTAATAACATATGTCCTAAAAGTTTTCGCATAAAATATTTATCGTCGAATTATGTAGAGTAGCCCATTCTACTCTACCAGACGCAACTTTTTTACAATGTCTCGAGAGGTCCTGGACGGAATTCAGATTAACTCTCAGTTTTTCGGAAATTCGCCGTCTTAATTGTTCTTCATCTGGGGCTTTTCAGTCTCCATGATAAACCTTCCTAGTCGGTAAAGCCCAAAAATCCTCTGTTGGGCGAGCCTGCGGTAAGTTTGAAGGATTATCGTTTTTGGGAACAAAAGGTATGTTGTGTTGTCGAAGCCAGTTTTAGGTACCTCTTGAGTAATGGCATGATGCTAGGTCTGGCCAAAACAATATATGTCCATTAGCATGATGTTCGTGGACAAACTGAAGTAATCTGGAAAGTCAGTTATAAATACAGGGTGTCCGCAAAGTTGGGGTTGTCCTTTTCAGAAACAACTACCCTTGAAATAACAAAGGTAATGTGTAGTGAAACGAGGGCGACCAAGTAAAAAAAAGGAAAAAGTACTCACTCTCCAGTTGACGAGAAGGGGTAACTCTGCCCGAAATCATACCGCTCCAACAGAAAATGAAATCAGCTGATGCGCTACCGAGCAGACGCAGGCGGTGGTGCAGACCACGAACAGAGGTAACAAATATGACGGCGTTGCCGCGTTTCAGTTTTTAGGTAAACGTACTTTATAGGTATTGTTGGAAGTTATCGCCGTTTGATTCAAAAACACAGGTGCGTGCACGACGTAGCCAAGCATCGGTGCAGGCTTTGAGAATGGAGTCCCTCCCCCGAATGAAAGCACCAGCTTGTTCAATTCTGAGACGAAGTTCGTCAACCGTATGCACTTCAGTTTTGTACACTAAGCGTTTCATTTCTCCCCAAAGAAAAAAATCACATGGTGTTGTCTGGAGATCGTGGAGGCCACGCTACGGGTCCATTACGTCCGATCCACCTATTCGGAAATAATTCATTCAAAAACTCACGCACTTCGCGTCTAAAATGGGGCGGTGCACCATCGTGCAGAAACCACATTGATTGTCTTACACTTAATGGCACATCTTCTAACAAGGAAGGCAAAATGTTGCGTAAAAAGTCTAGGTATTGCATCCCGTCCAATCGATTTGGGAGAATAAATGGTCCAATGAGCATACCGTTCACCATGCCAGCCCAAACATTCACCGAAAATGTTTGTTGAAAATGTGCCCGATGGACAGCGTGCTGATTTTCTACTGACCAAACATGAGTGTTGCGAAAGTTATTCACCCCATTACGCGTGAACGTAGATTCGTCTGTCACCAATATGCACAAGTCCGGATTATTGTCATGTTGATGCAACAACCACTCACAAAACCGCACTCTTGCTGGAAAATCGTCAGGTTGAAGGGCTTGTACACGTTGGACGTGAAACGGATACAGCCCCTCTTCACGCAGCATTTGCCACACTTTAGTTTTTGATACTTGCACTTCTCTAGCCACGTCTCTAGTGCTTGTTGAGGGATTCTCGTCTACGCGATTCAGTAGTTCTTCCTCAACTTGCACCATTCGTGGTTGTCTATTCCTCCCACTGTGCCCACCTCGAAATTCCTCCAAATGGCCCGTATCCCTCTCTCTCTGGACCATGTACACAAATCTGCGGGGCCTTGGATGATGTCTAGGGAAACGATCTGCATACACTCGCGAAGCCTCTGTAGCATTTTGAAGACATTCGCCATAAATTAACAACATATCAACGAGTTCATTATTGGTGTATGAGTGTGCCATTATTTTTTTTTGCATACTGACCTGACACACTGACCCCGACCCAGTTCTGTCGTCGGGTTGAGCCAGTGACCTTGTACCACTCGGTGATGTCGCGGGTCGCGGCTACAGGACGGTATTCAGATATTTTTGATGTTGCAGAGCCCTTTATCTTGGTTCCCTGAAGACATTGGTGTATATGGTACTAAGAAAAATGGCTTATGTTTTCAAGATCTACACGTCGTGTAAAGGAAAACCCCAACTTTGCGGACACCCTGTATAGCTCTGAGTATTCAAAGCTTCACCACTCACTCTTCTCACAAAAGATTGGGATACACCCCTGTTAGAAATGCTCACCAGACAAGGATTTTATCTGCAAATTTCGCTTTATGTTTGTATCTAATATTGTCACGGCATTCCTCTACGTTGTATGTATAAAATCGCTTCATTTCAGAAGTACTAAAAGTCTTCTTAAGTCTCTTTCGATATTTAAGACCATTCCTCCTCAATTCCAATGATATTGTACTCTTAGAAGATCTGTATTGACGAGCCAGTCTCGTTGTGGACATTTCAACCTGATTTTTAGCTCTTCTCACCAATCTCTCTGACCTCTGTGCAGTAAATGCACGTGGGAGATTCAGACATGGTATTCCCTGCTCGCATTCCGCTATTGTTCGATAAATGGTTTTGCGTGAAATGTTTTCATTCTGGAATGTTAAACAGCGTTGGGTAAGCTTTTAGGACATACGTTGTAGACAACACATCTATGGCTCGAAATTGGCTTCCGAAGCGGAGATTCGAACGCGCTAACTGCTCGACTACCTATATGGAGCAACTTTATTTAGTAACTGACCTCGTGGTTTTTATAGCGACTTTTTATCAGTCGTAAGTATTTCTGATTTTTACATTCTACTCTAGGCCAGCAGTGACGGAACCGATTGCAGGACCCGCAATACAAAAAGCAAAGAAACGCACCTTGAAGATATCGAAGAGTAGCGACGAGAAGGAAGAGAAGAAATTCATGGAGAACTACCTGCAGAACATGTCGTACGGTTACAATACGCTACTGTACGTGTTTCAGTACTTGAAAGTCCAGGATCTGCTTAGAGCTGGATGTGTCTGCACTATGTGGAGGGATCTAGCTAGTCATCCAATGTTGTGGCGTACTGTTAGGATGAAAAATTCGCAGGTAAGTTGTGTGTGAAAGTCGGTAATGCTAAATACGATCATAAAAATGCGTCTTTTTACAACAGTGCGTAAAAGTATATCGTATTGTTCGTAGACAGGCAGGAAAAGTTGACGTTTGCAGAGGCCTGATCGAGGGTGACAGCATTTCCTCTCTAGACTGTCGAAGTTTCAAAAACGCACGCCAAAAATTAATGTTATCTCTGACTACATGTCTTAAATGAAACGTTGGGAATAACATTAAAAAACCATCATATAGTGCCAAAAAAATGTCAGTGAAAAGGTTTCATTAATTTTTTTATATCTCAAGACAGAAGAAAATAAAAACGATTTGGCCAAATTTTAGTTTTTCTCTAAACCTCAGTAAGCCACCAATTTTTACAAATTTCTCAACGGCATCTAAATACACCACAAAGAACACAACTTATTCCAAATTTAGCCTAAGCTGTATCTCCCGCAGGTATTGAGATCCTCATTGCCTAGGATCCTTAACTTGGATATCCTGTATATAATAGTGTATCGTCCGCAAATATTTGAATTTTACAGTGTTTTAAAATAACAGAGATACTGTCATACGAGGGATGTCTTTTAAGTTTTGCATATAGAAACATAGTAGGCCGCGCGGATCGAACGTCAGTATTGAATCTTAACCTCACTCTTTAGTAAACTTGAAATTCAAAGTTTCACAACAATACGTGCAGTGTTCTCACTACAGTGAATTTTTAAGTGTCACCAAGTCGTTAGAAAAATGGAACTCAACCGAGAACATTTCCGCGCCATAATTTATTACAACTTTCACAAACAATTATCGCAACAAGAATGCCTTGCTGAGTTACTGGCTGTTTTCGGCAACGAAGCGCCACATCAGTCGACAATTTCTCGTTGATATGGAGAATTCAAACGTGGGCGGGTTAGTCTTAGCGACGATCCCAGGGTGGGTGCACCAAAAACGGCAGTCACCCAGGAAAACGTCGATGCTGTGCACAAACTCATCATGGAAGATAGACATGTGATATATCGCGAGATTGAGGCGTCCTTGAAGATTTCAAAGACGTCAATTCAAAAAAATTTACATGAATCAGGAGTAAGAAAATTAGTATCTCGTTGGATACCCCACCTGTTGACTGAAGAGCAGAAAGCTGCCAGGGTTAATTGGTGTCAAAAAACGCTTGACCGTTTCAATTACGGAAACTCAAAAAATGTGTACAGCATTGTTAGTGGTGATGAATCGTGGATTTACTGTTATGAACCAGAAAATAAACGACAGTCGGCTGTTTGGGTGTTCCAAGGTAAAGAAAAGCCAACAAAAGTCATCCGTTCTCGAAGTGTTTCGAAAAAGATGGTCGCGACACTTGTGCCAAAAGCGGGTCATATTGCAACAATTCCTCTTAATGAGCAAAAAACTGTTCCTGCGGATTGGTATACCACCATTTGTTTGCCCAAAGTCATCACCGAGCTTCGAAAAATCAACCCCGAAAGAAGAACCATCCTCCACCAAGACAATGCAAGCTCGCACACAGCACAAAAAACAAGGCATTATTTAACGTAAGAAAACGTAGAATTATTGGACCACCCTCCATACAGTCCCGATCTAAGTCATAACGATTTCTTTACTTTCCCGAAAATTAAAAACAGACTGCGTGGTCAAAGGTCCCAGTCACCAGAAGAAGCAGTTAACGCATTCAAAAATGCCGTTTTGGATCTGCCAGCAAACGAGTGGGATAAGTGCTTCGAAAATTGGTTCGAGGGCATGCAGGTGTGTATTAATCTTCGTGGGGAATACTTCGAAAAACAATAAAGTCATTTAAAACTACCTATCGTGTTGTTTTATTTCCATATGCAAAACTTAAAAGACATCCCTCGTATTCGATATGCTGTCGTATACAAGATCTGTCGTGTCGTTGAGTGGCTCTCGAAATTTTGCCATTTTTCATTTTGACAGCTAGTATGATAATTTAGAGCTCTAATACAAACATTGAATTATTTTCAAACAGGTGCACAGTTTTGAGGGTCTGGCAAATACTTTGAAGAAACACGGCACTCGACATTTAGATCTGCGTAAAATGTTGCTACCTACTGGAGGAGACGAAATCTGGCCAGAATTTTCAGATGCCATAGGCAAGGTGGATACTTTGAGGAAAATAGAACTCTGTAGATGCCCAGCGACTGTTGTGGAGAAGTTGGCTGTATCAAATCCACAGTTAGAGGTAAGAAAGTTTTATTCAAATGATATTTGAATTTGAATATTTTGTTCCGCTTTCGGTTATGGCGCTTTCATCAGGAGCAATATTTCACATAAATCCTCCAAGATGTCCAACAATATTCTTTATTTGGACTTTTACATAGTGTCCACTGGCACGGCAATGTTGCCAGGTTGGATCGGTTCAATTTGAAGTGACTTTTGAAAAATACAATCAGGCCGACTGCAGTAGCTGAATTGAATGAAGATTTAATTGTGCTTTAAACAGAAATCTAGAGACATCTCTTATGTTAAAATCCATCAATCCGTTTAAGCTCTAGCCCATGAAATATGAATTTCAAGGTTGAATTTTTTCATTAAAATCCATCATTTTAACATCACAATGTAAATAAAACATTCTATCAGGTAACCAAATAAGTTCGTGCGGTTTTTAATGGAAAAATATAAATTTTAATTGAGAAACAATTAGACACTATTTATTCGTCGAAATAATTACCATCACAATGACCTTTTGCCAACGTGGAACCAATTTTTGTATGCCGGTATTGTAGAACTCCCTGGATTTGGAGTCAAAAAATTGGCGAACTGGATTTATTACACCATCTCGAGTTGTGAACTGTCGGTGCCTCATACAGTTGTCAAGAGAAAAAAAGTTGATAATCACTGGACGAAATGTCGGGATAATATGGCGGGTGCGGTAACGTTTCCCTGCCGAGTTCAGAAATTTTTTCTCGGGTCACTTGCGGTATGAGGCTTGGCGTTAATATCACCTTCTTCCGATTGATCACAGAAGGCTGTTTTTGAATGAGGGCTGCTTGTACTCGTTGACGCTACTCACAATACAAGCTAGCAGTGATGGTTTGACCCCTTTCCCAAAACTTATAATGGACAATTCCAGTTGCTGTCCATCAAACACACAACAAAACCTTGTTTGGGTGCAAGGAAGCCTTGGGCGTGTGTGGTATCGAATCAGTAGGCGACAACCAATGATACAAACGTTTAAAATTCGAATACAAGATCCATTTTTCGTCGCAGGTTAATAACCGATTAATAAATGGTTCATTAGCGTTGCGTCAAATGTTTGCCGAACAAATGGTAAGACGACTTAATTTATCATTTGTCAGTTCATGTGGGACCCATTTGCTTAACTTCCACGTCTTTCCTAGCTGATGAAGATGCAAACGAATAGTTTCAGGACTCACCTGAACATTTCTGCAAGTTCTTGGCACGTTGTCCTGGAATTTGCGTCCACAACCTGTCGAAGATCCTCGTTGTTCATGATTCTTGGTCTCCCTGAGCATGGTTTATCGCTCAAACTGAGATCTCGCGAAGAAAATTTTTTGAACGACTTCTGTGCTGTTCGATCACAAAACGGCATCATCTCCGAATGCGGTACATATTTTTTGCGCCGCCCCTGCAGCTTTTGTACCAAGTAAACAACTTCGAATTACTGAATTCAATTATTAAAACTAGGTATGTAACAATTTTCAGCAACTTTTTATGTGTGAGAAAAGAAGGATTCATACTAAAGTGACAACAGGTAACAAACAATCGCTATCGATCAACAACATCCATGGCAATGTGCGATATACAGCAACCGCACGAACTTATTTGGTTACCTGATATATAATACTAAAATTATCATGTGAAATCGATAACACAAAAAAATTTTAAGCAAATATTCCATATATTGAAAAGAAAACGCTCCTAGTAGATCATATCTTCTCGATAGTATCATGGCTCGAGTAGCAGCATGTTCTGATGAACGCGACCATTGTCATTCAATCAGGTGAAGAAGAGCTCGTACAATACATTTTTTCACCATGCAATTTCTAGGTAATCAACGCTGTTACAATAAAATGCGAAAGCATGGACCTGAGCCCGTTCAAGAATTTAACAAACATCCAAGAACTGCGGATAAAATCAACGAGCGGTCTCACACTATCGTCAAGCCTGGACTCTTTAGAGGAACTCAAGCAGCTGCGGCATTTATCGCTGACCTCGATCCGGGATCTGGACAGTATGAATTTGGACGTCATCGCCGAGCTGACCAATTTGGAGTCTCTGGACCTGGGGGAGTGCACCGATTTCCCGGAGAAGTTCGGCAGCAGTATTTTGTGCAAACTGGAGAAACTCGAGAAGTTGAGGTTGGAGAAGGGACAGGGGAACTGTCATACGTTCGAGATTCTGGAGGCTGTGAAAAGTATGCCCAAGTTGGAGCAGCTTGAGCTAGTCAATTTCGATATCAAAGGTAAGCATGTTTGTTGATTTTATTTATGTTGGCTGTTCCAGCATCTTTGTTTTTCAATCCTTCTCTTGAAAATCATGTTCTGAATGAAATTTGGAACACTTATGGTACAGACAAGTTTAAGCATGCGCAGTGGAAAGTCTAGTAACGGTTTCAAGGAACGTTTTGGAAGTCTTATTTTGTGTCATTGTTTTGTGGTGTACAACCACATTTTGGATCATATAGTGAAGACATTGCATTTTTTGTGCACTTGTACTGGTGTGTCTTCCATTTTATTATAACAAACCATCAAGAAATTCACAATTTTCCAGTATTAAAACTAAATGATTTTTTTTATTAGTGAAAATAGTCAGCGCTGCAAAAAATCACGTTTTCTTTTTAATTCGTGATTTTTGTTCGATTTCTACCAATTTTTAGTGATTTTTTCAATAATTATGGCATTAATGAACTTTAAAATAACTCATTTTCGTTATTTTTCTCGATTCAGCCAAAAATATTTACTGACCTAATTTATAGTAAGAAAATCTCAAGGAAAGAAGAACAAGAAAATTCGTTCGTCTTTATATTGAGCGGTTGACGCGAGGCGGATCATTTCTTGACTTATAGTCGGCCCATAAGTTCATAAGTAAATTGCGTGTTCCTATTTCGTACCCTTTCTTGTTTAAATCGGGGTGTGGCAATGTGATATTGAAAAATCGAATGTAAAAATTTATTTATATTATATATTTAATTTATGTTGGCCTGATGAGGATTAGTTAAACATTATGAATGCAAACTCTTAGTTTTAAATAAACTCTTCCTTTTGTATACAACTGAAACTTGTGTTTTTTATATCGATAATCTCTCATGTTTGTCTGGCCAATTAAACCACATATATTTGAAATTCTTCTTTAATGTAGTAAACGTTTCTGTCACAATGGTGACCTTCTTCTGTATAGTACATGTGTACTGCATTAAAGAGGAATTTCAAATATACACTGAAACCAACTTTGTCTGACGGCTTGAGTTCAATGTGTACAAGAGAGAAGTGTGTATAGATACACATGTTAGAAAGAGATAAAAGCCGGCTGGATATCAGAACATCATCGCGTTGCCTAGCAACGCTGACCGGAAATCTGCCGCGTTACCAATGTGTTACACCAATCCTTGAATGAAGATACATGTTGAAAATATGCCTTGGTTTATTCTCTCTGCCCGAATGGTTTTTTTTGAGCGTACACATTTTTCAATTGTGAAGAATCTGTTTAGGATCGATTCCGGATAGGCCCTAATTACGCCCCATTTTAGGTCGAAATGATGGGTCAGAATCACCACAAATTCTGCATCTCTTACATTCCAAGGCGAGGTTTCCACCTCCCAAGATCATAGATGAGCGCTTTTGGTCAGTACCTATCTAGCGCTCAATGGAGAGTGTCGTCCTGCTTCGAAATGGTTTTCACCTGCGTACACACACAGGCAGACATGAAAACAAAATATTAAATCAAATATTCGAACAGACCTCCTTAGATTTGACGGTAACGTAACCGATTGCAAATGCCTATGCGAACATTTCCTACAGTAACTTATTGGCAACGTGGCAGATTGCACGTCCTTCTGCGTAACCGGCACTAGGCAATGTCCTTCGCTCTTCAGCTAGCTTCTATCTCTTTCTAACATGTGTGATACACACTTATCGCGCTTCTCTCTCGTGCACATTGAACTCAAGCTGTCGCACAAATTTCGTTTTCCCTGTATATGATTCCATTGGCGAGATAAACATGGGAGATTAACTTCCTTTTTGAATTTCCTGACGAGTTATTTCAATTCATATCAAAATTGAAAAAACGTATCAAGTTAAATAATGATTTAAATTGTCGCAACCCTGTGGGTGTGGTTTCGGGCGATATTTGAAATGGGAATGGCTTATTTTGCTTTTTTTTCAGCTGGCTTCGATAAGGCATTAGGTGCGTGTCGCAACATCAAGAAGCTATTGATCATCCCCACGTATATATCACAGAGCGCCACCACGAACCACATGGTACTCGGTGGCGTGCTGAGGCTCCAGAAGACCCTTTCTCATTTTGTATGGGGTGTGACTCTGGAACTACTGAGGGTGACCGAACTGTTTGTAGACCAGTGCGAAGAGCCGAAAAAAGAGAAGAAAACAACAGTAAGTAGCGGGGATTGTATACCCGTGTTGAAGCCGGTGCCGTTGCTTAAGGACAAGGATGGAGACATACCGCCTGCGCATGATCCACCTCAGGTAATAAAAAATAACATTCCCTTTATTTGTATTCACCATATTTATTTTTAAATTCCTATAGTTGGTATACCAGTCCTTGTCATGCTGATAACAGTCTGCAAAAACCAAGAGTTGCCAATTTTGGCCTAATAGACAAGCTTAAAAATCGGTTTAAATCAAAGTGATCTCAAAATTCCTACGGGGGTCTTGAAAAGCAAGGTTTAAGCTTTAATTTAGTTGCTTGGCGATCTCAAAAATTATAATTTTTAAACTAATTTTTAAGCATATATACCCATTTTCAGTGCTTTTCAGACATTAAATCGCTTATAACTCGAAAATGGCCACCTTTACAGAAAACTTGATGGAAGCCGTTTTTGTTGAGAATGACCTGAAAAAAACTTGTACCGGCAAAAAAATTGATCTGAGTTTCCGTGTGAGAATATTCATGGCTTAAAAATTATAATTTTTGAGATCGCCAAGTATCTCAATTAAAGTTCTACAAGACCTTGAAGGGTATTTCAAGATTAGTTTATTTTAAAGCAATTTCATTTTTTTTTTCAGACCAAAATAGGTGAATTTTTGATTTTCACAGACTACAATTACTTACTGAGGCGTTATTTTCCTTTTTTTTTTCGACAGAATATCAATATTTTGCATCCAGAGAATATAGTTTGTTTTCCACTTTCTTCTACAAACCAGATGTGGCAGAGCTTGTCGTCCAAAGTTCAAATGTAAAATTTAGCGTCACGTAATAAGCTTTACAATACAAGCACATAATAAATTTTGCCAAGCCCTATCCTTGAAGATTAGATTACACAATTTCTTGTATAAGATTTGGTTCAATCTCTTGAATAAGGTAAAGATATCATACAGCAAATTGGTTTAACAACAGGAATTGGATACAGAGGGTGTTCCAGAAAAATGTAACCATATTTCTAAGCTAGAGGTCCCAAAATGTTCCATTATGAAGGGTGTTGTAGATGTAGATACAATTTTCAATCTCAGACTGAAGTTAGTTAAACTTCAGAATATTTTCAAAGTAGAATGGGTTGCAGTCTTCTATGCGGATTTTACCTCAAATGTTCAAACCATTTTTTCTCCAAAGGGAGTGATCTGACAAAAAATTCTCAATATGTGGTGCAGAATTGAATACCTTATTCAAAAATTCAATAGATGTTTCAATAAAGTCAGTGGCATAGAGAATAATTTTCTTTCTTTGTAGGGGGTCAGCATTTCCCAATTTCTGTGCGATTGATGTAGTCTCAGTGACGAACATTTTTTGTATGTATTGGTGTTCATTAACGTATTCTACCTGAAGAGATGCAACCTAATACTGTATTCCCGCGTCCAAAAAATTATCCGAGATAAAACGAGATAGTGTAATGTGTAGTGTCATTTGTGAGAATTTGTCACAGCGGTTTTGCTCTTTACTTTGAAAATGTTGGTGTCTCATGTCAGCTATTTGTGCATATAAGCAGCGCCATCTGTGAGGCACAAACTTTGTCAAAATATAGTTAAGAGAAGACGCTACAGTATCTCGTTTATCTGGCATTATTTTTGGTCTCGGGAATATAGCATTTGGTTGGCTATCTTCTAGTGGAATACATTGATCAATGGTATTGGCTATGATAATAGTACTAAATGTACGAAATTTTAAGTCGATATCTTAATCCATTCCAGAGATATATTTTGGATTACGAAATTATAATTATAACAGGGCATTTTAGGAACCATGGTTATATCGACTTTACATATTATTATTTCATCTACTTTATGCCCTAGATTTTCTGAAACACCCTCTATATAGCACGATCAATTTCTACAAAATTTATTGGCCCAGCGCATGCGCAAATATACGCTGCCCCGAAACTTAATCTCACTTATTTCTTATTAGTTTCATTTCATTATGTGTCGTTTCTTTTATATTGTGTAGCACCAGACCTTTTTTTAAGTGTGTTCACAAAAAATTGGTATTTTAACAAGTTGAAAGTGATCGAACTCTTTTTTGTTTGTTTCGATTTTGGAATACTGACATTGACAACTTTGAATTTGTATTTTATTGAAAAACAGAATTTGAGTGTGCAGAACGGTGAACTGTTTCATGTACAATTGTGTAAATTTTGAACATTGAATTCCTATCTCAAATTTGGCGAGGAATTATTAGAATCGCGAAATATTTCGAAATTGTGATATTATGCGTTTTTCATGTTAAATGACATGTACATCAAGAAAAACTGTGTCACTCATTTCCGTCGGTCTGTCCGCTAATTTTATAAACGCCTATAACTTGAGAAGTACTGCTCGGATTTTGATGAAATTTTCACACAAGGATAAAATAGCTTTGAAAATCGGTCTAGTGGTGACGGAGAAAAAGACGAAAGAAGAAAAAATTTTTTTGGCGTTTTAGAGGATCTTGTCACTAAAATTGGACCATTATATAAATAGGCCAAGAGATAAGAAGATTTTTTGGTGATACCGTTAAATTATTGCTTCCTAAGGATATGTTCTAATTGGCTTCATTATAGGTGTAGATCATTTGTCGCCATTTTGAAAAACGAGTTTGATCAAAAATTAAACCATTGAACCTATCTAAAGAAGTAGTAGAAACAATTTTGTAGGGAAATTCTGTATTATTTTCCTTCCATAAAACTGTGTCGTGCGCTCAAGAGATTACGAGAAATTATAGGCTAAAAGTACATGTAATAATATTTCTGCTTATAATGGTTAAACTACGCATAAAACACTAAAAGGTCTTTTTTAACACCTTTATGTTTCTTGAGGTATATGTATATAATTAGGTAAAGTTGAAAATTCGTATCAAAATAATCGCGCGACATACCCCGCACGCTACATACATTGTCCACGTAATATAGCAATATTTCACGTGCAAATAACTTGATAAAACATTATCAATGATCACCATTTTAAAGTGAATCATTTTTTACTTCCACACGGCAAATGTATTATTTTTTTATAATTCGTGATATTATAAAGATCAAGTCACTCACTCCCATCTGTCTGTCTATCGGCGATTTTATCACTAATTTCAGTCACCTTTGTTGCGATCATAATGGAAGATGAGATGTAGTAGATAATGCTGGTTTATGGCATCACTCCCTTTCCATTAAAATCATTGCAACGATCGCTGACGCTGCGCAGTGACAAGACGGCCAATAGACAAATAGAAATGAGTGAGAGTTTTCAAGATTTTCGAACGCGTTTTTAAACTTGGCGGCAACTGCTTCAGCCGTACTATGACAATTTGAACTAATCATCAGGATGCAATAATCTAACGATATTACCTCTTTCATGGCCTAAAGCCATCTAAACGAATCTGAAACGATAAAGTAGACTTCATAGAGGTTAGGTGTCGGATATTAAAAAATAACCTTTATTCTTTTACATGGTACTACGGCCACGTTCTATTAAAAAATCTAAACATTTTTAAGTAATCAAAGTGCTGATTCTTCGCCTTTTTAATCCATAATAAAACACGACTCGTCTCGTTCGTACATCAAAACGTCCTGTGCCTATTTTTTTTATTAAAACTTTGACTCCGCACCTGTACGAGGTCTGTAAATTAAGTGATGATACTATTTTTTTTTTTATTTTTTTTATTATAATTATAATTTTATATTGTTACCCTCAAAATAATTTCCTTCAGAAGCCGCGCAGCTCTTGTTCTTCCATTCTAGCCATCAGCTGGTCGAAAAACCGCCGTTTAAATGTCTTCGACTGTTCGAGAATGAGTTCCCTTGAGGTGACTTTTAAAACTTCGGGAAGAGAAAAAAGTCATATGGACTCAAGTCACGTGAATAATGAGACTGAGGAGCCACATGTATGTTTTTACTGACAAAAAACTCGTTTATTGACATTGCTGTGGCACAAGGAGCATTATCGTGTTGCAACACCCAGTTGTTCTTGATCTGATGACCGGTGATGCGAGTCAAATTTAACTCTTCCCCGATCATTCTGACTGTTAACCGACGATCTGAACGCACAATATCTCTGTCGATATCATGAACACCTTCCGCATCCTCGGACAGCTGAAGTTTGGCAAGAATTTCCGTTGCACTATACCCAAGTCTGAAGCAAACCCTGATAGCACACTTGATGTCACTCATCTTTAGAACACAATAGGAAAAACTGTTTCACAAAAAAACATCGCTACGGACAACCAAATGACTCGAGCTAGTTCAAACTTATACTGAAGGCGGATTACATGTTGCACTGTTTCCCCTCCCAACCCGGCACCTCCAGTGTCGCCAGATCTAACGCTACGTTGCCAGTCTCGTCACTTGATTTACAGACCTCTTATCATTCAATTTACCGATTCCCTCCTTTATGTCTGTCAAAAAGGTAAATTGTGCAGTTTTGTCAAAAACATCTCTAAGGTTGCATCAATGGCCTCTACTATAACAAGGTCAAGTGCCATATTTTCTTTTGGTGATTTTTATTTTAATATACAGGTGGAGATATTGGCCCTGCCCAGTCTACAGAAGTTGCTCATGCAAAATCTACCCACAACACGGGTGAAAATCTTGAAAATCCCGTTCCATGCCACTTGGAGGCAGAGCATAACGGATTCTGTTAACTGAAACAGCGCTGCTACTTCTCGTCTCACCTCATTTCGTCTCCGTGTATGTGTTTAATATTGAATTCTAGGTTAGAGACACCTTACGAGGTAATTAGAGGATAGGTGTAGCATTTAGCGATAGAGATTGTATTTTAAAGAGTAATCTTTAACTTTTTTTAAAAAACATGTAAATAATGGATATTTCCGTTTTTTAATGTCAACTTTTTTTTGATGGTCATGTGTATACATGCTATTACCATGAATTATGTTTTACAAACTTAAATTCGTAATAAAATATTTTTTAAAGTTCTGAACACGGTTTAATGCATATTTTTTATATGCGATTAACTTTTTCAGCTTTTTTGGTAGATAGTCTTAAAGCGGAACTCGAAAGGTAAGATAATTTCAAAACTGATTGCAACTCCCTTAAAATTTTGTTTTCACTCCTGGTCTTTCAACTTAACCTCAAGTGCATTAAAGGATTTGATTAAAGAAAAACTGTGCATTTTAAAAAATTCTAATTTAATGTTACAGTATCATTCACACGTGAGTATTACGAATGTTTCTTCTGATATCTCCATTTTGGAATGTATATACAATATTTTAATAAATAATAATCGGTATAATATAATGTGGAAGCCACAGTACAATGTATATTAATCTATATAATTATACAATTCGGTATATTTACAAACGACACCCAAATACTGAACATTGCGATTTTAAAAAATACAATCATGGCAACGTTTTGTTATTTTCAATCAAATTGTATATAATATCATATATTTACAGTATAAAGTATGAGTAGATTATCAAAGTGTATGCATTAAGTAAAAACATACGTACATTTTTACAATGGAATGTAACAAGTATTTGCTTTATAAATTACAACAATCGTGTGTTGTGCAAAAAATCTGAAAATGCAAATATTTCCAAATGGCGCGTCTGTCTCCAAAATCATAGTTGAATAACTTCTTTCAAAATCACTGCATTTTACTTGATTAGAGTTTAAAAACGATCACAAAACCTAATAATAGTTATCGTACCATAATATTGGAGCACATATCCATAGTTTCGATTATATTTACGGAATGATACAAACTGATAAAAAGACACACCGTGTAGAGGTACACCTCTACATTAGATATAATAAGAAACCTATCAATTCATATTTGGAAAACGGGTGCATCGAAAAAGACGTTTTTGTGTATAAAGCATCACATATAATTTGATCGCAAGTGGAGAAAGATCTTGATATACAGAAAAAAAAACATTTTCACCTTGTTCAAAGCATAGAAATGGAGCTTTTCTCTAAATAGACTAAACGATCAATTCATATGTGATTCATTCTGACCATCGTGTTACAGTCTCTTTTATTCCACATCACAGATAAAATATGTTTATAGTACGATTGGTGATACACAAGAGAATGACTTAGATTTGATCAACATCACAAATTAAATCGATGTTGGATGAGATGGATATACAATTGCACAAATCTGTGGATGATCCACATTTTGACAGTAGACGCTATTCAAGCAATCACAGACATTGGTCCCGTTCATGACAACGTAGCGCTAATGTAGCCATTAATTTGAGCGATTTTCAAGAAAATATTTAACCGTTCAACGGTATTTTAATACATGTCTGGGCTTGTCAGATTGAAAATAGTATTTGAGAGGATCGCGGCACGGGTATTATGTAACAAAACCTATAAAATGTCATCTTGCAGACTAGGTAGTTTTTAGGGTGCAAACAGTTATTCCACGTTTGCCGACTAGGATCGTTGTGATCGTCCATCTATGGAGGAATGACTCGACTACGCGGAGTCTGTAGTTTTCATCTCTGAGAAGAAAGTTGGTTGAATAAGTTGAATAGCAAGATCGCATCTGGATGATTATGTCTATTGGTCTGCATGTGTATAAAATCAGTGATATTTGCTGTAAATGAAAATCATCACTGAATATGCTGCCAATGAAGTATATCTACATATTAGCTGTGCCCGACGGGTTATTTATATATTGTCCTTCCTGAAGACAGGTTATGTTCAACGTTATAAATTACGGTTTTTTACGTTTTTTGAGTGATCAAAAACTTTGAGGAGAATTACGGAAAATCACCACCGCGTCCGCGTTGTGTGTAATTATTGTTAGCATGTATATGACGTAATTCGACAATGTACAGTGAATATATTAATTATTCTCTCTCATTTTTCAAATTCAGCAAATTTGCATATGTAATTTCTAGAATGGATAAGAAAAAGTGGATGCGAATATAATTTCTAGCTTAGAATCTCAAGTAAGTGTATTTGAGACAAGAATACAATGGATTTATCATCAACACATATTCTTCTAGCTGTAGTATACAATTTACAGCTTAGACCTCCAGCCATGCTATCCCTGAAGCAGATTTTACATCACATCAGAGCAAAACATTGATAACTGAAGCATCATGACGTTTAGGCAACACGTACAACTACAAAACGAGTACACAACATATCAATCGGCTAGTGCTAAGTTAACATCTTGTAGAAAAACCTGCATAATGTCACAAAAAACCATTACAATTTCCAAAAAAATCGACATATTGTCACTTTTCAAGATACGTAATACCCGTGCGGGGCATATTTTGGTGGAATTTTCTCCAGTGGCGACTGGCAGCGCTAGTTATTCACTTTGGCGCTGTTAGAGAACTTGGAATTTATCTCACACATGTAAATTAAATATCCTCGATGCTTCTTCAAAATGAGCTTGTTTGCATGTTTCTAATTCATGACTATAAAAAAATTTATCCTAATGGCAACTACTACTATAGTTGTTTATTCCATATCGATGAAAATAAAATAATTTTAAAAAACTTTCGTTCGCTCCCTAACAAACATAATTCGCGTTCAGCAGAAAATAAAGTATCGCTACAGTAGCGCTACGTTGTGATGAACGGAGCGATTGTCATGTCTATACGAGTATACAGTGCTTTTCAAAAATTTCCCCATTCTTAATTTTTGAATGGGTCACGTGCAACCTGAAATTCGGGGTAATAAAATTGATGTATGAATACTATACTTTAGTGTAAAAATGGCTGTTGAAACTTATAAAATTGTAGCAAGGCGTCATTGCGGAACATTTTTTAAAAATGGAATGGGGGATCATGTGATGCCTCATTTTGAAGCTCCTCATGCGTACTTCATAACCCTAGAATAAAGTCATTATCTTTCACTTCAATTGACGATGTGGCAAGCTGTCAAAGTTGTGAGTTTTTAACATCGAGTCGCTTATGATTCAACAAACAAACATCAAAGATCTATAGTGTTAATAACCTCTCTTGGAAGTGTCTGTGCGATGCAGAGCAGCATTCAGGTCTTTGTCGGCGATTCATCGCTTTTGTGCGATGGGTTGAATGGGCTGTAGTTTTTGTGATGAATAAAATCTTATAAATGTGTGTTTGTGTTTTTATGTAAAAAATGATATCACAGGAAAACAATATATCAATATGGTTACCTAGGATTCCTCTATATAAAAGTCGAGATGAGAGGTCTATCCGAATATGAAATAAAAGACGAAACATAAGTAAGGGGGGCTTTCTGAAAAGCACTGTATATATTACGGGCAATAACATCATGCCATAACAATAATGGCAATGTCCACATTCGGTAACGGAATACTGACATGTGACTGTTAGAAGTTAGATTGGGTGTTCAGGCAACGTAAAGCGGTCCAGTACTCGCCTTTTAGTTTGACAGCAGTTGTCGCTTGGCGGTTAGATTTGGTAGTATGTTGATTATTGTTGCAAACTGTTGAAGGTATGCGCCATGTTTTATGTCGGTATTGAAACATCGAATGACTTTGACCGCGCTCAACTTTTTGGCATCAGTGAACAACGTTGCGGCGCATTTTGAGGGATGATTTGCATTTGTTTCCTTATAAGGTGCAGTTAGCACAAAAAATATTGCCAACTGATCGTCCACGCTTGGAATACGCCCAAACAGTCGCTCGCATGGGCAAACATTCGTACCGCAATCGCCGCTATACCACCAGATGCTCGAAAAAGTAATGGAAATCGCGGCAAAACGGACACATTTTGTGTTCAAAAACTAGTCCCAATAAATTGTAATGGACCATATTTAATAAAAATACCCGATATATAGAAATCAGTTTTTCGTTTTCAAAGTTATTTCATGTTTACATACCGACATAAAAGATGGCGAACCCTGTATTAATACTGCTATTCAGCATACAGCACTGCATCGCGGGATCGCATTATGCTGGCTGAACGTTATCTATCTAAATATCAATCTATCACATGTAAGTATTCTGCTGGCTAGGCGTAATAAGAGTTTCGGCAATCACTAATACCTCATAAGTAAATGTAAACGCAATTGACATTTAATTCAATGGTAGCCTGAACAGTTTATGCAACTTTTATTATTGACTTTCTTGTTTAGCTTCACAGAAGCAAACGTTGTCATTCAAAGATGCCGGGAGACTAGTTTCCTACTGCCAACGTAAGGGTTGGCAGTTCTATATGAGCTAAATGTCAAATGACATACCTAATATGAATGTTTATGTATGCGGTATTTGTGATTCCCAAAATTTCTAGTAGGAGAGCCCAATATGGGATTTTGGGATTTACTGGAGCGCGTCACATTAAGATAAAGAGAGATACCTTGCATCCTATTTAATTCCGTCACAATATAAGCCCCTTATAGAGGGGGGTACGTCTAGGACAGCCGATCACAAAAATCGATGGTTAGGAATACTGAGTTTCAGATTATGATAAGGTGGGTAAATTACATGCTGAAAATTGTGTATTTCAATAATCACGATTTGAGTGTGACGTAAAGGAATGGTAGGGACAAAACTTGCAAAAAAACTTTATCAGAAATAGAAGGATTGGTAACCCGAGCGACGTACATTTCTGCTTATTGGCTCCATCAGGCCCAAATGGATGTATATCAAAAACACTCGAGTTGAAACAAATGCCTAGAAACGTACGGTGTTCGGATTATCAATCCTACTTCTGCTCCTTTTTCATTATTGCGAACATGCCCAATTTTCCGCAAGACTACTTGTCTTTCTTTGAAAAAACTTATAACGAACGAAGATAACTACATGTGGTTTTAACTTGTTTGTAGGATTATTCATGCAGCTTCTGGATAATGAAGAATAATAATACCATTGCATTTGAAGTTTTCGAAAAATACTGCATTTCTAATTTTGAGGTTAGGGTTACGTCCCATAGCCACTTTAGGAAGCTGAAAATAATTTTCAGCACAGTTTCTCTTGGCCACTTTTCTATAAAGTTTTGTATCTTATTATAGCTCTAGGTTGACTGATACAACCGGCATCCTTCATTAAAATCCGATTTATAAACTGTGACGTTGTCGTACCCCCCGAGATCTCAAAGGAAGTCATATAGGGCAAAACATATGCCATCTCAAACAGCTAAAAGAGCGTGGAAAAAACAGCTGATCTGTCGCAACAAACACATGATTTGCAAGTTCCCTTTCATTGGTTGAATCGGGAACGGCAACGACAGAAAGTTGAATTTTCGTCTGCGTCGTGGTCGAACTCTGCAGAATTCTTGTTTATAAATAGTTTAACGTTGAACGCATGATTCAAGTTCTCCGTGACGAGAGCACTTAATGTCCCACCCGGTACAAACCGGCAGATTATCATCCTCCAATATCAGTGACGTGGGGGGTATATGGTATATACAATATCTGACACGCTCGAGTATTCCTGTTTTTTTACATTTTGGACAATACGTAGACGCTCCCCCACCAGTAAAGTGTATAATCATATAACCATTTTTTTATTTCTGCTATCTAGTCTTTAAAAC